GCAGTGTGATCAGGGCTGTGGTCGTGATGGCTCAGTCTCCCAGGGGAGTGGCTAACTTCCTTGTAGGCAGGAAAATGGTTCTGTACGAGTCCCAGGCTACACATTCCACCATCCCTAATGGGGATAGCTGCTTTTTTTTCTTATCATAACATGATTAGGGCTTCTCTCTTTGGTCTTTTTCAGGCCATATGCTTAGCTCTGAATCAATCAGCACCTTAACAAATTAAGGAAGCAGAGAGGCAGACTAAAACGATTGGCCTAGGCCCGTGGTCAGCAAACTGCGGCTCTCGAGCCACATGCGGCTCTTTGGCCCCGTGAGTATGGCTCTTCCACAAAATACCACTGCTGGGGCGAGTCTATTTTGAAGAAGTGGCGTTAGAAGAAGTTTAAGTTAAAAAAATGTGGCTCTCAAAAGAAATTTTAATCGTCGTACTGTTGATATTTGGCTCTGTTGACTAATGAGTTTGCCGACCACTGGCCTAGGCCAATCAGGGCTTGGACCTGGAGGTAGGAGGGGATCAAATCCATGCAAGCTTTTTGTCTGCCACAGTTAGGAAATGGGGAAACGATGCAAACAATGTCCACTACACGTTTCTATCACAGTAAGAATTCACCATAGTAGACAATGGTGATTAGCTTCTCTAGCATCCGTTTCCCTGTTGGCTACAATCCTAACTTACATTCTGGGCTTTATTCCTTCCCTATTCTTAGTCTGTGTGCTTCTGTTGGAACTCCATTTCCCACTCATGGGAGAAGCACGTGATTAGGACTTAGGCCAATCAGTGCCCTGGAATCTGCTCGCTGGATTGCTTCTCTGGCACTTGATTTGATCAAAGCCAGTGAAACAATGATTCTCACTGGGAAGGAAGGCTGGGACTGTTGCCTGCTGCTCTTGTCTGCTGAACTTGACCCTAAGAGGAAAAGGTCTGGAGCTATTGCTGTTGTCATTTTACAACCATATGGAAAGAGCCTGAAGTTGGAACTAATGGAGAGAGATGGAGAGAGGGGAAGAGGCCTACGGAAGTCACTCACACAGCCAAGCTAGACTCTGGACATTTCAGTTTATGACCAACACATTTCCTCTTTACTGTAAGCCAGTTTGGGTCAAGTTTTCTGAATTGCAACAGTGTCCTAAATCATACAGTTCTCCTTCCTGTTCAGAGGCAATGAGCTGCGCATGTGGGTGGCTAAAATGTTTGTCCAAACTTCACCATTTGTCATTTGACACTAATATTACATAGACAGCATCCCAGCCATGAAAGAAAGTGGAAGAATGCCGAATGACTGCATGAGATCTAGTCTATATCAGGGGTAGGCAAACTACAGCCCATGGGCCAAATCTGACCCACCACCTGTCTTCATACAGTTTTATTGGAAACAGCCACCCTTTGTTCATGGCTATTTTGTATTACAATGGCAGAGTTGAGTAGTTGCTTGCAAAGCCTAAAATATTTAGTATTTGACCTTTTACAGAGGAAGTCTATTGTCCCCTGATTTAGATGGCAAAAGAATAAAATATTAGCAAGTTACTTCTCTCCAAATGACTACCTGTGTCCCCAAGTGGAAGTAACACTGGCCCTCCATCATAGACCATTGTATCCCATTAACATCATGAACATCAGGTTTGATTATCAGCATTAGGAAAGCAAACTTTCATAGGATTGAACTTATTCCAGACAGTGAATAAGAAACGTCTGTGTCTTTAAGATTTGGTTTATGCAATGCCTGGATCTTACTAGTCCTGGTCACAATGTCTCAGAAGCCTATAGGCATAAGAACAGTCTTTTCCCACCTGGGCCCTTCCCTCTGAGTTGGGATACTAAAGCCACTGGTGAGTCTGGCTGGTGTGGCTCAGTGGTTGAGCATCAACCTATGAACCAAGAGGTTACTGGTTCTATTCCCAGTCAGGGCACATGCCTGGGTTGCAGGCTCGATCCCCAGTAAAGTGCATGGAGGAGGCAGCGGATTGATGTTTCTCTCTCATCGATGTATCTCTCTACCCCTCTCCTCTCTCTCTAAAATCAATAAAGACATGTTTAAAAAAAGAGAACGCAGTGTAGAGATACTGCTGACTTGTCCTGTATTGTTATCTGGGGAGTTTGCACTGGCTTATCCATGAAGCTCTTCTTGGGCTCCCAGTAGGATCTGACAGGCTTCCCAACTTACACAACACTCAACGTGGTTCTGAGATGGATCCAAGAGGAAAGTGAGGCTCATCAGGATATAGAGATAATAGTTTTTTATTTCTTTATTGATGGGGGAAATATTTCTTTGGGGTAACCTACCTTGAGTGCTGTGCAAGTGCCTTCTATTTACGGAACCACATGATAAATCTGAGAATTGAACCTCAAGGACCCACTTTGAATGCTATTCAAGTCAGGAAACCCTCCAGACTTAACAGGGAGCAGAAAGGAAGTCTTATGGGTAGGACAGTAAGATGCTTATCTTATCTAATAAGAGTAATATGCAAATTGACCATCGCTCCAACACATAAAATGGCTGCCCCCAGGTGGACACAAGATGGCTGCCACAAGATGGCCGGCAGGGGAGGGCAGTTGTGGGCAATCAGGCCAGCAGGGGAGGGCAGTTGTGGGTGATCAGGCCAGCAGGGGAGGGCAGTTGGGAGGGACCAGGCCTGCAGGGGAGGGCAGTTGGGGGCAACCCAGACCTACAAGGGAGGACAGTTAGGAGTGACCAGGCTGGCAGGGGAGGGCAGTTAGGGGTAACCGGGCCAGCAGGAGAGGGCAGTTAGGGGAATTGTGCTGGCAAGGAGCAGTTAGATGTGGATCAGTCTGGCAGGGGAGTGGATAGGGGTGGTGATCAGCTGGTAAGCAGAAGCAGTTAGGAACAATCAGGCAGGCAGGCAGGCGAGCTGTTGGGAGCAGTCCTGGATTGTGAGAGGGATGTCCCAGATTGGAGAGGGTGCAGGCTGGGCTGAGGGACAAACCACCCCCATGCATGAATTTTGTGCACTGGGCCTCTAGTTCTGAGAAAAGAATACTAGTAAATGACCCTCTCTTCTGTACTTGGCCAAATTTTACCTACCTCTTGGGATCCAGCTCAAATCCTCACTCTGGTATAAAGCCAGCTCAGACTGAGCAGTCCCTTTTGTCTTCACCACACTAATTACTACTGCAATTAATCTCTGAATACCTTGGGGCTCTGACTATAAACAGTCAGCCAGATATTTCTCGAGCAAAATGGGTTTATTGGGAAACAGCAAGAAATTGCAATCCTGTGCATGCGACCACCTGCAAGTCAAGTTGGCTAACACAAAGAAGAGAAAGCTCTTTGATGAAGGGGAAGGAAGTTGGGAAGGGCTCTTAGTTTCCCCCTTGCACTTTGTGCTCCACATAGAGCCTGAGAGCTCCCCCTTCTGGTCATTCCCCACTTCGGACTCAGGAGCATAGCCCTGCTTAGAGTCCGGTCAAGGAGACAGATACCCAGACAGACCATGAAACGCAATGTGCAGAGTCTGGGACAAAAGCGAACCGCACCGCTCCAGGGAACCTGGGAAACAGCTTCCCCCACTCCTGATTAGGCCCTGCATCCTCCACCGGAGAAGGCATATGAGGGCAGAACCCACGTCAGACCTGTTTGCAATCACTATCGCTCGTGGTGTGGAATCCCCTTCACGGGGAGACATGCTGGAGAACAGCCTTCTAACACTGGGCGTCCTGAAGGAATCTTCCTGGTACCAGTCACAAATGAGAGATGGCAGAGAAAATGTTACTCTTTTATTACTTCCAGGAGGTAATACATAGTCCAGTATGCCAAAGCAATAGGGAATTAGAGGCAGCAAATGGTCAGAGTCTTTCAGAAGAGCCTCATCTGCCCACCGCCCGGGGCTGCCTACAGGAAAGCCCAGGGCGGCCTGGAGCTTGTTGTGACCGCAGCCGCACTGGACAGATGACCCAAGTGGACATCCCACTGACCAGGAGAGGGTTCCATGTGCGCAACAGGGGCCGAACAGGCCAGGCTTACGCGGCCACTGCCTTCGCAGCAGCCAGCTTGTCCAGCACTTGATTTTACTTCTCTGAGCCTGGGGTGGGCAGGATGGGAAGGAATCCTGAGTCGGAAATTAAGGTGAAAGACTTAGTAGTGTTAATACTCTGGATGAGAGAAGCCAGCGCTGACTTTGAGGAGGGTGGGCTGGGGCTCTGGTGGGAAAAGAGATGGAGATGCGCAGAAGGGCCATGGACTGAGGCGCTGCCTTGAGGTCATCAGGAGGGTTTTTCATGGTACATGATGGGGTGGAGTGAGGGCATGGGCCCCGAGGCTGCTTCCTCTGGCACAGAGCTGAACTAGAGGTTCATTTTCCACTCATAATTTGTTTCCCACGCCAGGGCCGAAGCAAACCCGGCCTGTGCACCGAGCACTGCCTTCCAGAGAGGTGTGGCTCAGTTCTCGGGTGTGGAGGAGGAGGGACCCCACTCTTTTCCATTGCAAATGGCAGGGAGGGAGGGTAAGAGCCTTGGGCTTGTTTTTCTGGAAAATTCATTTTGGTGGGACCCAAAGCCCCTCCCTTGGCATGGAGCAGACTTACTCACCGATGGGAGGGCACCTTTCTGGCGACTTGACGGTGGCGTGCAAGTAGGAATCGCAGCAGTAGATGCTGTCAATACTCATGGACGTCATTCATTTCAATAGGACTGTCCAGGCTGGAGAGCTGGTTGGGAGGGGCTGCTTCCCAGCATGCACTGTTCCCCAACCAACCCTGGCCAGGCCCAAATTGGTTTATATGCTGCATGTGCTGATAGACTTTTGGTTTGTCCGGAGTGGAAAGAATTTTTTTTTCTTTTTTTCTTTTTACCATGCCACTGTGTTCTCCAAACCCAGAGCCATCGGTTTTGTTCTGGTTGACAGAGAAGGGCAATCACAGCTCCAGAGAGGCCAAGGCTTGGGCAGCACAGAATGCAGTATTATCGAGACTATAAACCTTGGTCTGCACAGGTGAGCACTGACTGCGGCGAACACAGGGACTTGGGTCGCTGTGTCCTCTAGTCAGTGGAAGGCTCTGCCGTGGCCTCGTCCTCACGCTCCTCAAAGCCTGGGACCGGCTTCTGCAGAAAGTGCATGGTGGCCTGGATCACCTTGTCTGGTCCAATGTTGTACACGGGGTGAGTGGGCTGCTGCAAAGAGAAGAACGGATGCTAATTAATCCTCCCTGAAAATCTGACCCATTAAATGCACTTGTAAGAATGTATGTAACATAGGCCTTGGCTGTGGGTGGCAGCTGGTTGAATGTCATCCCATGCACCAAAGGGTTGCCAGTTTGATTCCTGGTCAAAATGCAAAAAGTCCTAAATAAAATGCCCAGATTGTGTGTTTGGTCCCTGTTCAGGGTGCCTGTGGGAGGAAACTGATCGATGTTTCTCTCTCACATCCATGTTTCTCTCTCTCCCTCTTCCTTCCTTTCTCTCTATAAATTTTTAAAAATATAAATGTATCATAAGTAATCATCAGAGTTACACAGATTTTGATCACACAAAGCCAATGTTCAACAACAGGGTACTGATAAAAACATTTCATGGCCCCACGGGACACAAAGGAATATTATGTAGCCAGTAAGAAACGTGCTTTCAAATATTTAATGATATGGACAACTGCTTATAAATATTAAGAGGGGGAAATAGTATACACAATATTATTCCAAACTTACTTTTTGAAAATTTGAAATTCTGAGTTACAGTATGTGCCACTCAAGGTAAGGACACTTTAAATACACCAGCTGAAAAAATGCCATTTTTTCTGAAAAATGTTTTTATAAATCTTTTATGTTAATATTGTAATTTAAAAAGTGCAGTTAAGTCGAAGAAACCATTTTGGCTCAGTGGATAGAGTGTCGGCCTGCAAACTGAAAGGTCCCAGGTTCGATTCTGGTCAAGGGCATGTACCTTGGTTGCGGGCACATCCCCAGTAGGGGGTGTGCAGGAGGCAGCTGGTTGATGTTTCTCTCTCATTGATGTTTCTAGCTCTCTATCTCTCTCCCTTCCTCTCTGTAAAAAATCAATAAAAATATATTTTAAAGAAATAAAAAATAAAAGGTGCAGTTAAAAAAATAAAAATATATAACAATAAAAATGTGTTTGTAACCATGATGTATATAGACAGGCAAAAGTTAGTCATAAACCAAAATCAAAAAAGTGATATAGTGATATGATTGTTTTAAATTTTCTTAAACTTTTATATATATTCTAATTAAAATAATGAATATGTATTTACATTTATAATAAAGAAAAAGAATCACAACCCTATTTCATAGTGAAGGTGACAGGCCATATTGAAATACTTTTGTATTCCACTCCATCACAGAAACCCAAAAGAAACTTTAGGTCTGTGACAGGGCACAAGCCTGGGTCCGTATTAAGGACTTTCATCCACTCTGAGAGGATGAAGAAGGGGACATAATTGCAGGACAGATTTTACAACTTTTAAGAGAATACTATGAGCAAGTTCATGCCAAATGTATAAAACTTTAGATAAAGTGAATAACTTTATAGATCATAAATTTTCAAAACTAACTTAAGAATTTCTTTAAAACCCATATGAAATAAATTAAATCTATAAAAACAACCTTATTCTACTACCATCATTTCTCACCTCACCTGACCCCCCAAAATACAGGCCTAGATGGTTTCTTAGGCAAGTGTTATCAAAGCTAGAAGACACAGAAAATCTCTAACCTATACCAACTTTTTCAAAGACTGAAGAAGGGGGCTGGGGAGAAATACTCATCTACTTTTATGAGGCTATAATATTATCCTGAAACAAACTGGAAAACAACAAAACAAAAAATTTAAATCAAGTTTATTAATATACATGCAAAAAGTCCTAAATAAAAGACTAGCCAAACAACATTAGCAATCTGAATCCAGCAGTGTATTAAACACACACACACACACACACACACACACACACACACACACTCATATGCCACTATGACCAAGAAGGACTTACCCAAGCATGTAAGACTAACATCAGACTAGTTATTAAGTAAGCATATCACATTAGATTATAGGAGAAAAAACAGGTGCAGAAAAAGTATTCAATAAAACGTAACACTAATGAACAAAAACAACCTAGCAAACCAGGAATAGAGAGGGACATTCTTAACCTCATATGAAGTATTTACTATGATCAAAGCCCCACGGTAAGCATCCTGCTTACTGATGAAATTAGAGAAGCCTTCCCAGCAGTCAGAAGTGAGACAGGAACAGCCTCTATTACTATTTCCAGTCAACACTCTCGAGGGGTCGTAGCCAATGTCAGAAGGCAAGAACAAGAATCAAAGGAAAAGGCAAAACTTATTTAAGTTGACATTACTTTCTAAATAGAAAATCCAAAAGATTCTATAGATAAACAATTACAACTATTAAGAAAGGTTAGCAAGGTTGCTGGATACAAAATTAAAATATAAATATGAATACCGTGTTTCCCCGAAAATAAGATATCCTCCAAAAATAAGACCTACTTACAGGTTTCCTTCTGAGTGAAATATAAGGCATCCCCCAAAAATAAGGCCCCCCCAGGCTAAACATGAGAGATTTGGTCCACTGATTCTGAAAGAAATGGAGTCACAAGAAATTCACCAGGAAATTCAGGAATTGGATTGTTATGATGATGTTCCAGAAGATGATGACATGATTGTCATTGAATAAATGAGTAAATTCTTGATACTGTAGGATTCACAGTTTGTCTGGTTTGTGTTGACAACTACCATACTACAACGTACCATATACAGGTAATAAATTTCCTTTATTTTCATTTAACAATAAATGTGTACCGTATTCTTCTTCATGGAAAAATAAGACATCCCCTGAAAATAAGACCTAGTGCATCTTTGGGAGCAAAAATTAATATAAGATACTGTCTTATTTTCGGGGAAACAGGGTAACATTTCTATACATTATTATTAACAACCTATTATAAAATATAATGGGGAAAATATTCTGGTCACAATAGATACAAAAACTACAAATTTCTTAGACATATACTGAGTGGCCAGATTATTATGACCACCCCATCAGTACTTCATTGGACCACCTTTTGCCTTCAATACTGTGGCAGTTCTTCTTGGCATTGACTTCACGAGATGTTGAAAGGGGATGTGAGGAATCTGACACCATGCCTGATGAATAGCACTGTCCAGTTCTGTGAGATTTGATGGTTGTGGAACCAGCTGCCTGATGGCTCTTTCAACTTCGTTCCACAAATGCTCAATTGGATGGAGATCTGGTGATTGTGAGGGCCACCTAAGCAAGGTAAAGTCTCCTTCATGTTCTTGAAACCACTCCTGCACAATACAAGCACCGTGGCATGGCACATTGTCTTGTTGGAAGAAGCCCTCTTTTTTGGGATACACCATCAACATGATAGGATGAACTTGATCAGCAATGATACTTAGGTATGTTGTGCTACTCAGACGTCGTTTCACATGAATTAAAGGGCCCAAATCATGCCAGGAAAACATTCCCCAAACCATAACACTGCCCCCACCAGCTTGAAAGGTTATACTCATGCATGTGGGGTGCGTACTTTCATGCTGTTTCCGCCAAATTCTCACTCTGCATGATGCAGCTGGAAATGTGATTCATCGGACCACATGACTTGTTTCCAATGCTTGACTATCCAATCCTTGTGTTCCTGTGCGAATCGGAGATGTTTTTTCTTGTTAACTTCGTACAACAAAGGTGTTCGAACAGGCCTTAGGCTTCCATATCCCATACGATGCAGTGTACGGCTAATTTGCCTACAAACATCAGGTGGTCATAATAATCTGGCCACTCAGTGTATATCTAACAGGAGATGTACTAATTCTTTTAGGAGAAAATGATAAAAGACATTGAAGGACATGGTTATGTTCACATTCAGGAAGCCTTAATATTGAGATGTCATGCTCTCCCATTAATCTTAAATTCAATGCAATACCAATAAAAATTCCATTAGATGTTTTTTGTGGAATTTGAGAAGCTGATTCTATATTCACAGGAAGAAGCTAAAATGAAAAAAATAACCAAGACAACTTTAAAGAAAAAGAACAAGGTGGATAGGATGTGCCTACCAGCATTTAAGATTTGCTTAAGACAGTGCAGACAGACAAACAGACCGAAGGAACAAAGTGTGCGGAAACAGTCACCTCACATACAGCAATTAAGCATATGACACATACAATGCACATTAGTAGGAAAGGTTATGAACTTCAATAAATGGTGCTGGTCAATTGGTTATCCATATGGAAAAAAGATAAAATTATATCCAACCCTCACTATAGACAGAAACGAATTCCAAGAGAATTAAAAATCTAGATGGGAAAAGCAAAAGTTTAAACGGTCTAGAAGGACATATATTTATGACCTCAGGATAGGAAAAATATTCTTAGTAACCACCTGCCCCCCCCGCCCCCAAAAAAAGAAACCTCAAAAAACAAAAGGCAAATAAAATTGTTCCCTTTAAAATTTAAACCATCTTGGGGGGGGGGGGGCAATGTTAAAATATGTACACAGATAATAATTTAATATAAATAAATAAATAAATAAATAAATAAATAAATAAATAAAATAAAAAATAAAAATAAAATTTAAACCATTTATTCAACACAAAACACCAAAACAACATGAAAAGACAAGTCACAAACTCGAAGAGATTCGCCACACACACACCACTGATAAAGGATCAGTATCGGGAACATACTGACATGAATGAGAGAACTCCTACAAATATGTAAAAAAGGGCAAACAATTAAAGTTACAAATTGGAAGAAAAAATGAGCAAAGGATATGAGCTGGCAGGCGATTCACAGAAGACATAAAAAAAAAAAAAAGACATAACATTTGAAAGGATGCTCAACCTCACTGGTAACCACGGAAATGCAAAATGAAACTATCAAACTGGCAGAGAGGAAGAGCTGACTGTGGGGCTGCTCAGGGCCCCGTGAGTGGAAAACAGCACAGGCCCGTGGGGAGGCCACTGCTGTCCGTGATGGTGGGGGTGTGGGTTTTCTTCACCCCGGCAACCTCTCCTAGAGAGACTCTGACATCACAGTGTCCACTGTAACACTGTCGTCGTGGAAGCTGAAACCAGCTTGGTGTTAACCAACTGGAGACTAGGAAAATAAGTTGGGATATTATACATTATATAAGGGAAGATTGTACAATCATTAAAATGATTAAACTGGAGCAACACATATGGACACAGATAAACCTCAATAGTATAACTAAAGGTCAGTGAGAAGAGCAATGCAGAGGAAGTGGCTCAGTACATCTATATATATAAAAGCCTAAGCAGCCATTAAGACCAAATGACCGAACAATTAGTCAACCAGTCGCTATGACATTCACTGACCACAAGGAGGCAGAAGCTCAACGCAGGAGCTGCTCCTGGGAGGTTAATGCACTCCCACAGCCAAACTCCTGGGGCGGGCCAACCTCCTGCGGTCTCCTCCACCCCCCAGATGGCTGGTCCTGATCGCGCCCCCCCCCCCCCCCCACTGTCCACAGGCCCTAATCAGCCCCAATCCAGCTGGCCAACCTCCCCTCTCTGGCTGGCCAACCCCAATTGCCCCAATAGGGACTGTGCGAGACAGCCCCAATCAGCCCCGATCACTAGCCAGGCCAAGGAACCCCACCTGTGCACAAATTCATGCACAGGGCCTCTAGTACTGTTATAAAAGTCTGAAAACATACAAGACAACTCTCTCAACATTATAGAATCATGCATTTGAAGTGACAGCACAAAAACACCTACAGGCATGATGGTTACGCTGAGAAATAGGGAGGGAGAAGAATGGAAGAGAGTTGCATAGGAGGCAAATACGGGAAAATGTTAAGACTTGAAAAAGCTAGTGGCTGTCACTCTGATTTTCATCCATCTCCTGGCCATTTGTGCTTCTTCTGTTGGAAATACCTCATGACAATCCTGCAGCCAGGCTGCTCCAGGGCTGGCCGTGGGGGTGAACGTCCTGCCCACATGGGGCTGACAGTTTTGACGGCAACAGACAAAAGCAAATTAAACAAATTGTGAGGAGCACAACAAGGCTCACGGTGGAGCATCTGGGCAATCTCATTGACAGAAGGTGGGAGGTGGGCGGGAAGGCGTCCCTGGAGACAAGGCATGCAGCCGAGAGCTCCGGAAACACAGCCAGCTACACAGTGTGCGCGGGGGCAGAAGGCCTTGCCTCTGAGAAGCTCCTCGGAGAGGAAACTAGCGATAAACGGTCCAGGTCCTTCCTTGACTCCGGGAGAGAGGCACAAAACTGGCGCAGCCTAGAACCTCGAGTTTGCCTCCAGGGTGTTTCCTCCACAGCCACATCCTCCCCGGTGGGCTGTAAGCACAGGAGGGCGGTGACTGCCACCCTGGCCTCCTGCACAGGAGACAGGCAGAGCCAGTTCTGCAAGCGGGAGCTGTGCTCTCTGGTAGGCATGTCCTGGGGGCCTGTGGGGAAGGGCGGCCTTACCAGAGCGTTCCCGGGCACACCCAGGACCATGTCGTGCAGCATGGCTCCGCTGCCGAAGTGCTGGGCTATGGACAGGCCGCTCAGGCAGTAGCAGGTGTGGTAGAAGTCCCGCGACCTGCAAGGACAGGGCAGCTCTGAGCAGGCGCCCCTCCGCTCCCCACGGTCCCTCTCCACCCCCCAGGACAGCCTTCATCAAAGCGGCCACAGGCTCAGAGGCCAGGCGCTCGCAGCCCAGTCCCACCCCACCCTCCTCAGCAGCTCCAGGAAGCCCGCTTCCCCAGCGGCCCTGTCGAAGCCCATCCTCAGCCCTGCCAGGCACAGAGTCCCTCCCGCTGCCTTCCAGAAAGGGGTCCTCTGGGCAGAGCTGGTGCTGAGTTAATATATTTAAAAAAAAAAAAACACAACAAAAACCACCAAAATGTCTAGAAACAGGCCAAATTCTTCCCAATAAATTGCTGAGGACTGGCCTTCAGCTGGGCCTTCCCCTGGGTGCTGACAGCAGCAGGGGTGTGTGTGTGTGTGTGTGTGTGTGTGTGTGTGTGTGTGAGAGAGAGAGAGAGAGAGAGAGAGAGAGAGAGAGAGAGAGAGGGAGGGAGAGACAGACAGACAGACAGACACGGGTTGAGGGGAGAGGGAGGGGAAGGGAGAGAGAGCATTTTTGGCAGGTGAGAAGCTAAGGGAACAGAACTTATCTGATTTCCCTTTTTCTTTTATTTGGCACCCAAAGCTATTCTGTCAGAGTTGTGATTATAATATCAGTTTACGATACTGAAGGGTTTTAAAATTCTGTATCCCAGCAATCTGTTGGCCTGCCTGGAGAGGGAAGTGCATGTAAACTGGGAGGAAAGGATGGGCACTGGGGGTGCCAGGATCCACGGCACTCAAAGGGGGCTCCAGAGTTGGGGTGCTTCTCCCCATACCACTCCAGCAGCTGGAGGGAAAGGGACACCCGGGCTTTTAAAGGTGGGCACCTGCTGCCGTCTGGCTCTGCGGAGACCCGAGGTCCACCCCACTGTCCCCCGTCCAGCCCGCCTCCCGGAGGGCAGGCACTCACTTGCCGGGCTTGTCCAGAAGGCCCCCCGCGGGGCACTGGCAGCACATGAGGATGTACTCCTGCAGCGCCTGCTGGTGGAACATCCAGTGGCTCATGCTGAGGGCGGGGTCACCTGCAGGAAGGCAAAGGGTCCGTATGTGTTGCTCCAGTTTAATCATTTTAATGACTGTACAACCTTCTCTTATATAATGTATCCCAACTTATTTCCCTCGACTCCTGCTGGTTAACATCAAGCTGGTTTCAATTTTATACTTTGATACTTGGGCTTCAAAGTTAGAAAACAATCTGCAAATGGCAATTGAAAGCCATTTTTTTCTTTGTTTCTAAACACTTTCTATAGAGTTATTATACTACTGGTGCATGGATTCGTGCACATTGAAAGGAAATTAACTAGAAGGTGGCCGGCCGGGCAGGACTGGGCAAGATGGGCTGGACACACCCTGGGGCCAACCAACTGCAGACCTTCCCCAGCACCTGTGGAGTGAAAGGGGTTCCTCTGACAAGTGGGGGTCCCTCAGTATGGCCTGCAGGGATCGGGCCAAAACAGGCCCCACAACATTTCCTGAGGGATCCTGGAGTGCGAGAGGGCCCGCTGCAAAGTTGTTGTTGTACAGGGTGTGGAACACAAACGCAAGTGTGCAGTGAACCAGATTCAGGATCGACAGTGCCCCAGCAACAACGTAATCCACGGCCGTAAGTGGAATCGCATGGCCCCACGAGGAATCAGGCTCCTTCCTCTCAGGTTTCGGGGTGTATCACCAAAAACCACTGCTGCCAAGTCACTGCAGCTCAGCAGCTCCTGCATTGAGCGTCTGCCCCTTAGTGGTTAGTGCGCATCATAGCGACTGGTCGGACGGTCGGACCCTTAGCATTTTACCCTTTTATATCTATAGATTGTATCTTAAGTTTTTCATTAATACTATAGATATAAACTTTCCTGTTCTGCTACATAATCTTCATAACCATCATTCTGAAGAGCCATATAGCATTTCATTAAATGGATGCATAAGGTAACTGTATTAACATAGACACTGGGCCAAAACTTTCATATATATGAGTATAGAATCTTCTATGATAAAAATTTGTCAATATTTACAGTAAATGCAGTCTATAAGAGAGAGTGTGTAAGCAAAATATTTAATTGTGGGATATATATATATATATATATATATATATATATATATATATATTTCTTAAATGAGAGTGAAATTATTCAGGTAAAGGGAATAACATTTTTAAGGCTTCTAATAGATACTAATAAACTGCTTTAAATTTTTATATAGCCACCAGCAAAATTTAAGATGTTCCTGTACTACCTTCAGCATTGCTTACTTAAAAAAATTCTCAGTATTTAAAATGTTAAAAAATAAACAGCACCTGATCATTTGTTTTGATTTAGATGCCTTTGATTACTAATAAGAGTAAAGTTGTCCCATGACTTTTATTTACTAGTTGTATTTCTTTTTGAGAGTGCCTGTTGGTCCTTTGTCTTCTGAGATCCAAGAATCTATTTTGTCAATCTAGCTTTCCATTCTGTTTACCCTTTATCTGTATCATATGCTACACATATTTCCCCTTTTGTTTGGTTGCATGGGTTTTAAAGAAAAATATACATATATATTACACATATGCTGTAATCACACTGTTGATTTTGCCTTTGTAATTTCTTCTTTAAAGAAGCATATTTAATGGGTACAGGGATTCTGGGGTGGGGTTTTGATAAAAACTCTAACACTGATTATGATAATGGCTGCACAACTCTATAAGTACACTAAAAACCATTAAATGGTGTACTTTAAATGTGTGAATTATGTCTCAAGAAAGCTATTATTTTAAAAAGCATATTAATTAAACTTTAGGACAATAGCATTAAGCATCCGTATAAAACATGCCTTTGTTTCATATCCTATGAGAAACAAAAGGCTGTTATTATAAGGTAAATGATAACCTATCACAAAAATTAGAATCTGAAAAAAAAAAAAATGCCATGTTTACTGTTGAAGAGATCACAGAGTGCTCCGGGTACCTCCCACATCACCGAAGTCTGAAAGCCCCAAGTTCATACATAACCTCCACAAGCAGCTTGCAGAGAACTTGAATTTGCACATGGAATCATGGTGGGGTGAAGGGCGATATGATTACAGGTTGACTCTGTGCACTGGAGTCAGCTTTTAAACCCTTCGTACCTCTCCCTGAAATTACAGACCCTCCTTATCGTGCCATTTTTGCATTCCAAGGGCTCCTTTTATCTAAGAAATTAAAAGTTCTTCTCAACAGTAAGTGACAGGTGCGGCCACATGGGGCTCAATTTCACAGGTGGACAAACACAGGCCTGGGGCATGTCCCCGAGAACAAACAAGCACGAGTAACCAATCCGGACGGAACCTCACAGGCCTGCTGCTTCCTGACGCCTCCACCAACACCAAACAGTTCACTGATGCAGTCAGCATTTGATGTTAATAATAACTCTCACTTCTACCGAAACACTGTCTTCTGCACGCGTTAGGCATCCACCCCCAGGAACGACTGACGGCCCCCTGCAGAGTCAGGGCCCAGCCTGGGTTCACGTGCTGACCTATGTCGATCTCTGTTCATCTTTCTAGTTAGCAATATGATCTCCAACTTTTAAACGGGTATTTATTCATCTACTAAAAGTAGTAATGCAACCCTAACCGATTTTGCTCAGTGGATAGAGCGTCGGTCTGCGGGCTGAAGGGTCCCAGGTTCGCTTCTGGTCAAGGGCATGTACCTTGGGGGTGTGCAAGAGGCAGCTGACTGATGATCCTCTCTTATCAATGTTTCTAACTCTCTATCCCTCTTTCTTCCTCTCTGTAAAAAAAATCAATAAAATATATTTTGGGGGGAAAAAGTAGTAATGCACATGATAAGAAAAATGGAAGGGGGAGGGGAAGGGCATAGTATAATACAGAGAGCAAATTAAGAAGGAAGTGCCCCCCCCCTCATTTCCTCCCCGCTCCCTGAGGCCCCCACTGTGAAAGGGGCTTTGTGTCCAAGTGCAGGGAAGGCTGTGTGGATGCCGGCCTGCGTGCACACGGACTGCTCCAGTCCTGGCCTTTCATGCTTCGGGCTGTGTCCTGGAGAGCTTTCCACATCACTGTATGCAGCACTGCACGCGAGGTCATCATTGATTTAACTGCTGACCTTTTGTTGGGCGGTGGGGTTGTTTTCTATTAAAACTCCAGTACGCATCCTTTGCTCATATCACTGCAGGTACATTCCTGATGGCACACTTGCAGGGTTCAAATAACTTAAACAGATGCCTCCAAACCACCCTCCCCCCCAAAAAAAAAAAAAAATGCATGTATTCCGACCCCTACTAATAGGACAAATGTGCATTTTCCACACTTTCCCCTATAGAGACTAACAAGCGTCCTAATCTGTCAATCTGAGAGCAAAAACGAATAGTGGCCCACGGTTCCTGCTTGCATTTCTTTATCGCCTTGGCCTTTTCGTTTGATTGATGGCCATCTGTGGTGGTTACCAAGCAGGGCTCTGACCCCTTCCTAGGTGTCAGTCAGGTATTTATAAAGCAAGTCGCTTACCCTCGATGGACTGTTTCCTCATCTGTAAAATGGGAATACCAACAGTACCTATTGCAAAAGGTTGTTTTGAGGGTCAAATGAAGAAACATATATATGAAAGACTCAGTTCAGTCACTTAGGGTGAGTGCCTGGTAAGTCTCGGCTGCCAGTAGTAGTGGCAGCAGTTGTAGAAGTAATAATACTAATAGCAGTTCTTCTTTTTTAAACTTTTTTTCCCATCACTATTTACCACTCCCCCTTCACCTCGCCTACCTCCACTCACCCCCTCCCACCACACCGTGGTCCGAGTCCATGAGTTCTGTTTCCGTCTGTTCTGAACCTGCCTCTTCAGACCCTTTGCCTGTTTTTCCCCTGGGCTGTTTCGCTGTTCCCAGTTGACTTTCTCAAATGAAAGCAATGAGCCCTTCGTTGTCTGTCACGAAACACGTTCCCCTCCTTGCTACTTGTGTTGTTTATGTGATTTCCCTTCTTTGGCAAAATAACTTTTGTTGGTTTTGTTTATATGAGAAATACAAAGTAATTGTAGAAAAATTGGAAAATAAAAATAAAAAAATAAAGAAAACAAACATCACCTGCCATTTCACAACCCAGACACCTCCCATTCATTTTTTGGAATCAGCTCTCCGCAGAAACTGGAGTTACATACAGAATGCTTTGAAGCCTAGTTCTGATCACAGTCCATGCTAAATCACTTTCCCCACCCCATCTCCTTTTGACCCCCAACGTCAGCATTCTGCCCACCGTTCAAAACACTTCCCTTCTTCCCAGACCCTGCCTGGCCCAAGTCCCCTGCCTCTGAGGAACCCGGTGTGGGCCAGCACGGGCCTTCTCCCGGGCGTGAGGAAAGCTGGGAGCACCGAGCTTCGCCGGCAACCTTCCCACGGCAAAGCTTTGGATGGGACGAGGCCTCCAGAGCGCGTGCTACAATAAACAAAATGTCACCGGTGGGGGGGGGGGGGCTCCCCTTGAAGACTTTGGCACGTGGCGCTCCTGTGACAGCTCTCCCCGCATTTTCCTGGCACCTGCAGGGCGACTGCATCTTACCCCTGCCAGGGACAGGCTTGGGCACAGCTGCCGGTTTTACCAGGGGCTCGGTCTCACCAGTTCCAATAAAGAGTTCACTAAAACCCCATGCTATTTCTGGACTCGAGGCGAATGTCTGACCATTCTCCCTCATACACACACACACACACACACACACACACACACACACACACACTGTAGTGGTCAGGCCAGAGTCAGGAGATTGGTTGGTCTTAGTGCCCTGAGACCGGAAACCCAGGGGCCTCAGGCCAAGCATCTCAGGACAGACGGAGACAGAGAGAACAGGGAACAGGACAGAGGCTCTGTTTACTTCAACTCAGTCTCAAAAAGTGCCACGACTCAAATGAAACTAAGAAACTAAAGAAAGGGGCTCTGAAAGAACAGCCATACCAGGAGGAAATGTGTGTGTGTGCTCACGTTTGGGGTGGGGGTGGGGGTGGGCGGTAGGAAAGAATCTCATCTTCTCCAGCTGAGCAATGGATTGCCCAACCACAAAGTCCAAAGGAAAGCTTCCCCTGGGCCTAGGGACCTCCCTCCAAGAACAGATCGGCACCCACAGAGAGCCACGCCTCCCCTCTCCCTCTGCTTCCTCGGGGACATCCTGTTCTCCCACAGAATAATCCGGAAGATCACTCAGGAGTCAGCGGGCGGCCTGAGATTTCAGGAGGCAATCAGGGGAGGCTCACAGAGGCTTTGCTTGCTGTCTGACTGCTTCGGTTCTGCGCTCCCATGGGAGACGCCACAGAGGAACACGGGTCCCTCCACTCCAGCGGTGCCGGATTCTCCGTTTCATTTTTTTTACCATTACTATTATTATTATTATTATTATTATTATTATTATTATTTCAGAGAGGAAAGACGAGGGAGAGACAGAAACATCAATGATGAGAAGCATGGATCGGCTGCCTCCTGCACGTCCCCGACTGAGGATGAAGCCCACCACCCAGGCCTGTGCCCTGACCTGGAATTGAACCGTGACCTCCTGGATCCTAGGTCAACACTCAACCATTGAGCCACACCTGCCAGGCTCTTCAACATTTTAAACTCGTGTCTGAGGTGGCAAGGATGCAGCCAGACACCCACGGCGAGGCGGGTGTTTTCTCTGTGTGCTCTGGCTCTCTGCCCCTGAATGCACTTGCCATGGGCGCAGCGTGGGTTTTCGATTCTGACGTGAGCGGTACAGAGCACTGCACTGGAGACGGTGGCTTCACACCCAGCGGAGGGGGCCGTCACCTCAGAGCCCGGACAGGCGCCCGCCTCCTCTAGTCACAGCCGGTGTGAAGCAGCCATGACCCCCTAACCACTAATTCCTACCCGAGTCTGCACGTGCCCCAGACTGGGAACTCAAAATCCGGGACAGACAGAGTTATTTCAACCCCGTGGAAATGCACACTGGCTCTGCGGCTCGGTGTGCAGCCCGGGACCCCACCTCGCCCTCCCAGCAGCTCGCTCACCTTGGGCGTGCAGTGCGCGGTGCAGGAGGGGCAGCAGCCCCGCCTGCCAGAAGGAGTAGCAGCCGTCCACCAGCTTGTTGCAGCGGCCCTGAAACCCACCTTCAAACCGCATCTGCCGGCTCGTCACCCATTGCTGAGGAAGAGACAAAGAGAGAGAGGCGGCTGTCAGCTACAGGAGACGCTGGGGCCAGCAAGACCAGCCCCAGGGGCCGGTCAGGGAGGGAGGGTTCCCGTCTCTTAGCTTCCTGGTGCTCACAGCTCTGATGCTTGGGCTTCTTACCTCTTTCCCCTCAGACCTCAGACCTCAAGGGGAGCGTTCAAGCCCACCCTTTCGAGGCAGCCAGCATGGATTTCTGCTCCAACCTAACACAATTAGCCGCCTTTCCCAGGGTCAAATGGGTTCCAGTGCCGAGAGGATGAAAAGGCCATGCTGGCTTGTAAGGAGATCTTCAAATGTCTCTCTCTCTCATTTTCTCTCTCTCTTTAATATATTTTATTGATTTTTTTAAAGAGAGGAAGAGAGAGGGATAGAGAGTTAGAAACATCGATGAGAGAGAATCATCAATCAGCTGCCTCTTGTACATCCCCTACTGGGGATGTGCCCGCAACCAGGGTACATGCCCTTGACCGGAATCGAACCCGGGACCTTTCAATCCACAGGCTGACGTTCTATCCACTGAGCCAAACCGGTTTCTGCTGCAAATGTCTCTTAATAAACGGAAACTCATGTCTAATCAACTCATTTCTAATCGTGTCCCCTGCTCAGGGAAGTTTATTAAAAGCAGATAAGTGGGATTTTGTGCTACATCCCGTCCGATGATCTCAAACTGTTTCTGACCTTTACTTGGCTCATGAGGAAATTCATCCCAGATCTCTAAGCAAGTCACTCACAAGAATGGAAGCATAAGTCATTAGTCCCAACGACTGATTATGGCTCTGATGGCTGATCATGGCTGTGTCTGGTCTAGCCTCTCTCCAGGGAACCTGGCTGACTGATGGAAGAAAATCTTTTACTTTGGACCTGTAAAATGGCTCTTGATGTCACTCAGTGGTCACATGATATTACCATTCCTTGCTTATCTCCATGCTCTCTAAACACACTCCACTACTAAGATCAAGATAGTCACAGGCTGGGCCCCTCGGAATGAGCAGAACCAACTGGCTGAGCAGATAATGGCATTTCCATTTCCCGCCCCACCCTGCCAGCCAGTTGCAGCCACCAGCCACGGGCTTCCACAGCTGCCATGGTAACTGACCAGCACCGAGTAGGGTATTTCCCTGCACCTAGATTCTTACTAGGCTGAGTTCCTGAAAGTAGCCACACAGAAAGCTTGCAGGAAAGTGTGTGTGTGTATGTGTGTGTGTGTGTGTGTGTGTGTGTGTGTGTGTTTGGGGGGGGGGGGCAGAAATTCCAGTCCTCCTTTAAGTTAATGGTTGTAGAGTTTAGATGATATCCCTGTTTAAGGCAACACCCACTCAGAAAGCCACAACCCCAAGTTCTTAAAAGGAAGACCAAACAAATAAGTAAATTGCACTGCAGATGTAGACACCAGTATATCCCCAGTTGTCTTAAATGAACCGTGCCTTAGGGATGATGCCATTGGATGAAGAAAAGAGAACTGGCACTATCATGGGAAGTCTATTATTCTTCATTTTACTTACCCCATAGACGAAGTGGTTTTTTTGTTTTTGTTTTGTTTTTTTTAAATATATTTCATTGATTTTGTACAGAGAGGAAGGGAGAGAGATAGAGAGCCAGAAACATCGATGAGAGAGAGTCATCGATCAGCTGTCTCTTGCACACCCCCCACTGGGGATGTGCCCGCAACCAAGGTACATGCCCTTGACCGGAATCGAACCCGGGACCCTTCAGTCCTCAAGCCGACGCTCTATCCATTGAGCCAAACCGGTCTTGGCCAGACAAAGTGTTTTTAAGCCAGACTAAAATATTTTCCAGGGTCTAAGCCCATGGGTTCATTCTACTGACTATCTAAAATCCTTCGGATGTAGGGCCTCGTCCTCCCAAAGCAAACGGAGGGGAGGAGGTAGTTTGTAAGAACACTAATATCTAATGAGCACCTACGAAGTGCCAGGCTGTTTATATATGTTCACTCCTTTAACCCTCAAGGAACTATTATCTCTACCTTATGGAGACGGGGGCGGGGAGTTGAAGCTGAAACAGATTAGACAAGTTTCCCAAGGCCACTAGGAAGTAGTAGAGACAGGGTCCAAATTTAGAATATTTTTAACTGAGGCATTTGCTAATTATATTCTTTATTTCTGCCTGGGAGAGAAATAAAGTTCTACCTGGGAGAGAAATGAAAGTTATATATTTCATGTGCTGTTAGAAATCAGGTTTTAGTGTATTTCAGAGTCAACGCACAAAGTTGGCCATTTCAGTCCTAACTGGTTTGGCTCAGTGGATAGAGCGTCGGCCTGTAGAATGGTCCCAGGTTCGATTCCAGTCAAGGGCATGTACCTTGGTTGTGGGCATATCCCCAGTAGGTGTGCAGGAGGCAGCTGATTGATATTTCTCTCTCATCAATGTTTCTCTTTATCCCTCTTCCCTTTTCTCTGTAAAAAAAAAAAAATAATAATAATAAATAATAATAATAATAAAATATATATTTTTTAAAAAGTTGACCATTTCAATATGAACCTTCAAGCCTTTAATAGCCTTCGAAGAGCATGCTTTAGGAGGTCCCTAAGGAGGAAGACAATACACTGCTGGTCATATCCCTGCAGGGTATAATGGAGGGTCTCTAGGAAGCTCTCGATGGGTCCCATGATAGGAGCCTGACATATGAACTTGGGGAGAAAAGATGACTGTCAATGGCAGCGGTTTGCTGTAAGGTCATGACCAGAGAGTAAACGCTTCCCACAGACATCTCCATACCTAGTGGCTCCTGGAAGCTGACCATTTTCTGAGTTCATTCTGAGTATTGGTCAGGAGCCTGGAGTCGAGATATAAAAGTGTGGGCCGCCTGCTCAATGCAATTACCCAGCTCTGCCCAGCAAATTTAAATTTGGTTCCTGAGTGTGCACATAGCATGGTAGGTAATAAAAGCTTGGCTTCAAGATGCCTCAAAGCTTCACATAAACTCTTCTCTTAGGATATTCTAAGTAAGACACATGATAACCCCTCATTTTAAGAGACTGGAGCTACGTTTTTTCTTGGAAGTCTTGGGGGAAGGTACTCTGGCTCATCCCAGATGACTGAGGGACTCAAGAAAACGCTGGTGTTGGCCTAACACACCTTGTAGAAAGTTCAGAGCAGGAAGACGGGTGGGCAGGCAGAAGGGAGCTGAAATGGAGAGCAGCTGTCCACTCCTTCCACTTCCTCAGAGCAGCCTGAGTGCTCTAGCAATTCTCTCTAAAGCTTTACAGCAAGCAGGTCAAACTCAAAGGGCCCAATAACCGAGGCATGCGGCCCTTGGGCAGTGAATTTGACATCTTGCTTTGCAGCACTTCTGGCTCATGAGCTCAAGGCAGGAGCGATCCGCCCCCCCCAGAGCCAGACCTTCCCACAAGCCTGTCTGAGTGGTCACATCACCGGGGCCTGGGGGCCTGCGAGGAAAATGGATCCGCAGACACTTACCAATAAGTTCTTCAAGTTTAAGGAACGTTCCTTCTTGAGGATGACCAGTGCGGCCAGGCCACAGAACGTGTAGCCTCCGTGAGCTTCCATCCCTGGCACCCCACCAATGCCACCTTCCCAGTTCTGACACCTGGGAGAAGATCGAGAAAGGGAAATTAGGGGGTCAGTGTCAACCAATGAGAGGCCGAGCTGAGTGGATGGGCACACATGTAGGACCCCGGGAGGCAAAGAATGTGTTCGCTCACATTGAAGCATAAACCACAACTATGAATAGAAAGATGTCACCTAATTAACTTTTGGAAATGCCTCCCCCCACCACCACCAAAAAAAGGAAACGCAGAAATAGTCTACTTATGTAACAAACAGAGCACCTCAAAGCATTACTTTTTTGGAAAAACATTATAAAATCAAAAAATAATTGCTAATTCTAATGGCTATCTTTTAGTACAGGTCTATTGCTAACATTTTTCCAACTTTTCTGTATTTTCAAGAGTTCCTATAGTAAACGTGTATGCCTTTATAACTATTCAAAACAAGTTATTTTTTCTTTTTATTGTTTTTATTTTTATTTTTTAAATCCTCACTCAAGGATATTTTCCCATTGATTTTTAGGGAGAGTGGGAGAGAGAGGGAAAGACAGAGAGAAATATTGATCTGAGAGAAACACACCGATTGGTTGTCTCCTGCATGAGCCCTGACCAGGGCCTGGCCTGTGGAGGACCTTGCAACCAAGATACATGCCATGGACCGGAATCGAACCCAAGACCCTTCGGTCCACAGGTTGACACTCTAGTCACTGAGCCAAAAACAGTTAGGGCCATAATAACTTATTTATTAATTTATAGTTTCTTATGTATTCAAATTACTTGTATATTTTTATTACTATTATTATAATTTAAGGTTAGACTATTAAGAGTATATTTTCTAGGCATTAAAACGTGCATAATCTTCGGCCCAGAAATATAGGGTCATTTCTAGTAATTAATCCTATAAAATAGGAGTGTTTCTAAAGATCAGATTATAAGAATTTTTACTATATTATATATTTACATAGAAACTCAACAGTAAGGGACTCATTTTATAAATCCTTGTGTATCTGTACAACAGAATACTACACAGTCATTTCAAAGGCTATAGAAGTACTTGACATGTAGAATAAGGAAAATGTGACAGACTAACTCAAATATACCCTGATATTAAAATTACCAGAGAATGATTTTAAAGCAGGTATTATATATTTATTTCAGTGAAGTGAAGAAAAATATACTTGTAATGAATTTAAAAATTTCAACTGAGCAAAAAAATAATAAAAAATAACCAAATCCAGCCACTCTAACTCAAAAGCCTGTACTCTCAATCCCTAAACCACCCCACTATTGAGTATTATATACCAAACCCTCAGTAAATGTTGGCTATTATTATAATATTATCAACCTTTTTAACAATGACACTGGGAGCCAGAAGATAATGGAACAATACTTTAAAATTCTGAAGGATTATAATTTATAATTTCCAATTTAGAAATCTCTAACCAAATAAACTACTAATCAAATGTGACACTAAAATAGATATATGTAAAATCTTACAACATGTATCACCACCTGGCTGGTATGGCTTAGTGGTTGAGCATCAGCCTATGAATCAGGAGGTCACGGTTTGAATCCCAGTCAGGGCACATGCCCTGGTTACAGGTTAGATCCCCAGTGCAGGAGGCAGTCAATCAATGATTTGCTCTCATCATTGATGTTACTATCTCTCCCCCTCCCTTCCTCTCTAAAATCAATAAAAATATATATTTTTAAAAATGTATCACCATAACCAATGTCACCCCAATCAATTTAATTTGAAACTTTTAAAAAATGTATCACCAATTGCTCTTTTGGAAGATTTATTGGAGTATGTGCTTCGTTAACATGAGTTAGTAAACCAAGGGAAAGGAGGACAGGGCTTCGACAAAGGAGAGGAGTGAAGTGAATTTCGTGCTGAAAGGAAGCTGGTGGATGGATGCCTGCTGTGCGCAAGCTGAGAGCAATCTGTCCGGATAGAAGCAGAACAGAGGGCTCCAGGTGGGATAACTAAAATACACACGTGCATACACACACACAAAGACACACACACACACACACACACACACAGGAATGAATACATTATCTGAAGTGCTTGACTGTATTGAGAGTAATTTGGGGGAATGAATTCATAATATATACATTAAAAAAAAGTAATGAAAATAAAAGTTATAAAAAAATAAATAGTATATCATCTGGTTTGGCTGTAAATTATATTTTCATAGTACTAAGTATTACTTTGATAAAAATTGAAATATTAAAAAAAACATACAGTTTGGATATCTTCCTATAATATATATATATATGTATCTACTATACCTTTTGTTTTCTTTTTCTTAAATATTCTGTATTTTTATTGATTTCAGAGAGGAAGGGAAAAAGAGATAGAAACATCAATGATGAGAGAGCATCATTGATCAGTGCCTCCTGCACGCCCCCTACAACCTAGGCATGTGCCCTTGATCAGGATCAACCGGGACTCTTCAGTCCACAGGCCGACACTCTATCCACTGCGCCAAACCAGCTAGGGTTTGTTTTTTATTTTTTAATGATGAAATATTTGAAGCACTCAAGAAAGTATAGGAAATAGTATATGGAACATACATGTATCTAATACCTATCTTTAATTTACCCATGTACATTTTAGGGTTTTTTAAAAACTATTTTAAAGAAACAAACCATTAGATACAGTTGAAGTCTTCCGTGGAGATGTGCAGGCCTCCCCGACCTCATTTCCTTTACTCTTTCCCCAGATGTAACCACCATCTTGAATTTGCTGTTTAAGTCTCCCATGCATGTGGGTTTTTAAAAAATAACTTTTAAAAAGGATTTTTAAATTTTTTTTTTAGAGAGAGAGGAAGGGGGAGGGAGAGAGGAACATCAATATGAGAGCGAAATTTTGATCAGCTGCCTCCTGCATGCCCCCTACCCAGGATGGAGTCCTCAATCCAAATATGTGCCCTGACTGGGGATCAAACTGGCAACTTTTCAATGCACGGCGCGGAATGACGCCCAACCAACTGAACCACACCAGCCAGGGCTCCCATGCATGCTTATACATTATTAACAATGTGCTTCTTCCCATAAACAATGTGGAATTGTTTTGCATATTTTAAAATTCTAAGTAAATGCCCTGATTGGCATATTTTAACATCCTCCCCTTTTTTTACTCTACACTGTTTTTGAGATTTGTCCATACTGATGCATGCAGCTCTCATTCATTCATGTTAACGGCTATATCATATTCCAATGTGCCTGTACAAAAATTACTTCTCCAGCTCATACTTACAACCATTTAACTTGTTCCCAGCTTCTTGCTGTTATAAACGAGATCTATGTTTGTCTCTTTCATGCATCTGTGTGAGAGTTTCTGCAGGAATGGAACCACTGGGTCATCAGCAAGGGCTACCTTGAGGTATCATCAAATTGCTCTCCCAACTGGATTCATCCATTTGAACTCCCACCACTACTGTCTAACCAAGTTTTTGATCTTTGCCAATCTAAACTGGAATATGACATCAAAGAAATTTGGTGGAAAAGAAAACTTTTAAAGTAATTTTAAAACGCATAATGCTACAACCCTAATGGATTTCCTGTCATTTTACTTTTCCTTCCGGTCTTTTTTCACTGCCTTTATTTTTTCAGAAGTCCTTTGGCCACCTGCTGGCTATGAGGCCAGGACAAATCCCAGCCTCTCTCACCTTGCTATCCATTCAGCGGTGCCCGCAAAAAGGTCTGGAGTGATGATGTTGGTCAGGGAAGCTACGGAGGCGGCACAGTATGCACTTCTGCAAGGACAGAAATAGAGGGGGACGCGTTAGGCTTTGTGGGAGCGCCTAAATAAGGCTCCCTGAACTCCTTGGGCAGACTGTTCCCTTTGCCTCGTAAGCTGTAATCACCTCCTGTCCTCACCCTTGGCACAGGGTCAGTCCTCCTGGGCCTCCCGCTGAGAGGTTTGACATTCTGTTTGGCTAGAGTTGCTCACAGCATGGCTTCAGGGAAAGAACATGACATTCTATTCTCCCGACCTCCACATGGTCAACTCGACATCACAGGAAATAACAGCCATCTCAACTCATGTCAAAAGTGAATTTTGCTCCAAAATTCCCTGGTGTCATTCAGGCATTCCCGATATGCTCACTCACTCAGATGTCAGTATTGTTTTAGATCCAGGATTTCCGTCTGTTTGTGGCGGAATGTTTTCTATTTTTTAATGATGGGCACGTGAAAGCTGAATTGTATTTTTTTTTTTTCCTGCAACGAACACATTGCAATGCAGGCCACCAGACCTTGATGGCTGCTTAGATTAGAGAGGAATGGATGGGCCCACTCAGATACATTCCTTGGGCCTCCAGACGGAGAAAAAAAAAAAAGACACACAAACCTTTGATTTCAAGCACCAACCAGCACATACACACACATGCAAACACACTTCTAAATCAAAAGGAAAGAGCACGCCTTTTAATTTTTAAAAATTTTTTTCATGTTATCCTGCTTTATTTGGAGTAATTCTGCCAGCCCCAATTCTCCTCGAGACACATTTATTCCAGTTTCGCCCTCTATTATGAAACATGTCTACAAACTGTCTGTCAGTCTCTCCTACTGTCTTTGCAAATAGCCAGCATCTCCACTCCATTTGGTGTCGAGGACCAAAACTCTAATTCTGCTTGCAAGCCCTTTCCCCAAGGCCTCCTAAGGAAGGATAGCAGCGAGGAATGGGAAGGGCCTCGTCTCCATATTATTTGCAATAACTGAGGTATTGCAAGGAGATCTCTACAGAAGCTGCAAGCATTATTACCCTGCAAGCATTTTTATCAGCCTGCTCACGCCGGCCAAAGGCACGCAGAGGCCGAGCTATGCCAGCAGGCACCAGAAGCTCTTGGGTCCTACGTGCCAAACACTATCGTCTACCAAGGGCTGACTTGGAAGGTCTGATCTAATTTCCTCCAGGCCTCGAGCCTCTCCCAGGGGTTCCGCGGCATTTGCTCTTGAATCCTAATGTGACTGCAGAGCCAGCCAGAATCGGAGCCCGCCTCTCCCAAATGGAAGAACCGAGAGGGGATGCCAGGAGCCACTAGCTGGTCCTGGCTCTCACGTGGAGACGGGGAGGGAGCAAAATACATCTTCTTGATGCCGTTTCTCCCTCTCTCCCTTCATCCATCCAGCCATCACATCTCTCAAATTTGCCCACTGCTCTCCATCCACGCCACTACCACCCAAGCCCAAGACACCTTTACCTGGCTCAGTCTCCTGTCTGCTCTTCCTCCCTCCAGTACTGAAACCAGAAGGCTTTTTGCTAAAATACTTCAGCCTGTTCGTTACACTTGGGGAACTAATAACGGAAGGATCACATCGCTCCCTACTGACAAGGTGTCAGTGGCTTCCCACTGCCCTTAAAATAAACTCCAGGCTTCGGAAGACTTCAGGGCCCCTCACCTGCACCCGCCGGCCCTTCCAGCCCCACACTGCTCCACGGGGGCCCTACGTTTCAGCAACACGGAACTTCTGGAGCACGCCCGGTGCTCTGTCTCCTAGGTATGGGGTAAAATGCCCAAGCCATCTTGCCAGGGTTTGCTTGCTTTTGCCTAATAATCGCAGGGAGTTTTATTTTTATTTTTTATTTTTAAATATATTTTATTGATTTTGTACAGAGAGGAAGGGAGAGAGATAGAGAGAAACATCGATGAGAGAGAGTCATCGATCAGTTGCCTCTTGCACACCCCCTACAGGGGATATGCCCGCAACCAAGGTACATGCCCTTGACCGGAATCGAACCCGGGACCCTTCAGTCCCCAAGCCGACGCTCTATCCATTGAGCCAAACCGGTCTCGGCTGCAGGGAGTTTTAGAAAGTTAAGTTTCAAGACTGCATATTTGACTGGAATGTCTACAAAACAGGTATGAAAATGCAGTGATTTTGAAGGAAAAAAATATCTTTCAACTTTTCCTTAAGAAGTATCAACACAATACTGTATTGCATCTCTTCAATAGTTAGATTGGCTTTCTTGGCCTACACAGTGTTACAAACAAGGTAAGAGGCCCCAAATGGAGTCACGCTAAACCAGTGGTCAGCAAACTCATTAGTCAACAGAGCCAAATATTAACACTACAACGACTGAAATTTCTTTTGAGAACCACATTTTTAAAACTTAAACAACTTCTAAACTTCTTGGAAGAGCCACACTGAAGGGACCCAAGAGCTGCATGTGGCTTGAGAGCCACAGTTTGCTGACCATGGAGCTAAACTATAACTTAATTTCTGCTTTCCCCAAAATGGCATCTTAAACCAGTCAATCAGAAGTCACCTGGTCAGCCCTAGTTAGGTCATCTGCCTGATACAGTCCCGCCAGCTCTAAAGGAAAGAAACGTTGCAGTAACCAACCTGCTTTCTGCCTGGCGTCCCTTCCTTGTCCCTGACCCCTTGCACCCATAAAAGCTACCGCTTTGTGCAGCTCCCTGGAGCTCCTTTCTGTTTTGCTAGATTGGGTGCTGCCCAATTCAAATAGATGTTTGCTCTAATAAACTCTTAACATTGTTTAATGTGCCTCGGTGTCTCTTTAATGACGATACTGAGATACGGTGGTGCAGGAAAGCTATTGGGTCTTCTCCCCAGTTCCTGGCACAGAGCTCCTTCAACCCCTGGCACAGTCTGAGTTACGGTTGTGATGGGACAGTCTTCTGTGATGTATAACAAGCCCCGCTCAGCCAAACCTGAGGGGGCTGCTGGAGGAAGGGGCTGGCTGCCGGAGGAAGGAACTAGGTGATGAGAAGGTTGGAACTTTCAGAGGAAAAGGGCTGGAGACTGGATTAAGCACCACTGGCCAATGCCTTCATCAATTGTGCCTACCTAACGGAACCCCCAGAAAAACCCTCAATGTAGGGGTTGGGGGAGCTTCTGGGCGATCGAACACATCATGTGCCTGCCAGGGGGTGGCACACCCCAACTTCATGGGGACAGACGCTCCCTGCTCTGAACCTTCCAGACATCGCCCGATATACCCCTTCATCTGGCGGTTAATCTGTATCCTTTATAGTATCCTTTAGAAGGAGCCAGCCACAGTCAAGTGTTTCCCTGAGCTCCGTGAGCTATTCTATTATAGCAAATTACTGAATCTAAGGAGGGCATCGTGGGTACCCCCAATCTGTAGCCAAGACTAAGGTGACCAGACATCCCGCTTTTGGCGGGACAGTCCCGATTTTTAACAATTTGTCCCGCGTCCCCCGGCGTTTTAAAAAAAAGTCCCGATTTTTGGAAAGAATCTTTGGACATGGGATAAATTGTTAAAAAGATTTTTGGATGCAGGACTAAGTGTTAAAAATCGGGGATGTCCCGCCAAAAGCAGGACGTCTGGTCACCTTAGACGGCAAGAGCATGGGTAACCCGGGGACAAAATGCTCGTGACTGGCAGCTGAAGTGGCGGCAGCCTTGTGCAGCTGAGCCCTTAACCTGTGGCGTCTGTCCTGACTCTGGGTCCTCCGTGTCAGCGCTGTTCCATGTGAGGGAAGACACACACCCAGGCTCCGAAGTGTCATGAGTAGAAACGGCTTTCCAGGTAGGTACGTAAGCTGCTTTGTTGGTTGGAACAGACAGGAGACAGAGAGAAGGAAATCCTTTCCTGAAGCCTCCACGGCCCGGCTGCCCGCTTTATCTGCGTGAAGTTTATGCTCCACAGCTGGCATGCTCTTTTCTCCCCAGCTACTTCCAAGCCAGTGGTGAAGCCGGAGTATTGATCAACTCGTGTAGAAGCAAACATATTTACAAATAGGCAACAAGATGGCTTTGAAATATAATAGAAACCTCATAAAAATGTATTTCTCACACTAAGTCATAAGACTTGGGTATGAAATCTCCATGATCCGCTGCCGCTGAGAAATGATTTGCTCAGTAAATCCTCTATATGCTTATGAGCAATCCACCTGCCCGGTGAGTAAGCTGCTTGCTAGGTACAGCAGACAATTCCTGAGTTAAATAATAATGTTGCACCAATTGGTTAATGCAAGTCTATTTCCCTTCGCTCCGCTGGCCCAGAAGGGTTTCTGCCCCTCCCGGAGCAGTTCTCACTCAGTGTGCAACAGTGTCATGATTTCATCAAACCCATGGCAAAATATTTGCTAAATATTCTGGGCATTTTTCTCCCTCCTATTCCAGAGAGATGAAGGACTGTATGACACTACATGGTTATTATATACTAGAGTCCCAGGAGGGGTGAGGGTGGTGGTGTCCCCTCAGCCCAGCCTGCACCCTCTCCAATCTGGGACCCCTTGAGGGATGTCTGACCACCCGTTTGGGATATCTATCATAAAGGATACAAATTAAATGGGCAGTAGACAATCCTCTCACAATCCAGGACTGCTGGCTCCCAACTGCTTGCCTGCCTCTGCCTGATTGCCCCTAACCACTTCTGCCTGCCAGCCTGATTCATCCCCTAGCCATTCACCTGCCAGCCTGATAGATGCCTAACTGCTCCCTGGCTGGCCCGATTGCCCCTAACTGCCCTCCCTGCTGGCCTGGGTACCCACTCCCCAACTACTCTCCCCTGGAGGCCTGGTCCCCCCAACTGCCCTTCCCTGCCAGCCTGGTTGCCCCTAACAGTCCTCCCCTGTAGGCCTGGTTGCCCCCAACTGCCCTCCCCTGCTGGCCTGATCACCCCTAACTGCCCTCCCTGCTGGCCTGGGTCCCCACCCCCCAACTACTCTCCCCTGGAGGCCTGGTTCCCCCAACTGCCTCCCCTGCTGGCCTGATCACTCCTAACTGCCCTCCCTGCTGGCCCGATCACCCACAACTGCCCTCCCCTGCAGTCCTGGTTCCCCCCAACTGCCCTCCTCTGAAGGCCTGGGTCCTCTCCAACTGCCCTCCTCTGCTGGCCTGGTCACCCCTAATTGCCCACTGCTGCCCTCCCCTGGAGGCCGTCTTATGGCAGTCATCGTGTGCCCAAATGAGGGCGGCCATCTTATGTCTTAGAGTGCCGGTCAATTTGCATATTGCTCTTTTATTAGATAGGATTATGGTATATCATCTTATACCAAATCAATGTATCTTTAACTTTTAAAATAAGGGCAGTTGATTTTGTTTCTGTCTTGCTTCTATTTTGAGATTTACATAAAAGAAGTCGAGTGACCGTCCCACTGAGGACCTCGGTATCATCTGTGATTGCGATACCGTGTCACCCACACGTCATTCTGCGTGTCCGTCTGTGACAACGCAGCAGCTTCGCCATGTTGGCGCTTGGGTTTGGCATCTCTCGTGGCAGGTGAGCTCTGGAATCTACTGATGCAGCAGCCTGAGAAGGCCCACTCACCTCACATCCACCTCACCTCCAACGTGCATGAGGAAAGAGCCATCAGGCTGCTTCAGAGAATATAAATACTGCAGAAGCTTCTCTCTGCGAAAGGAATGGGAGAGAGGCAGGAGAGGGCAATGGTCAGTGCAGTGTCTGCCAGCAGGGAGCCCTCTGTGTTCCCATCACTGCTGGCTTTGGCTGTACCTGTTAATGACGTCATAGGCCTCCTCGGTGCCAATGATGCACAGTGCGTTGACTGCTGCGTATGTGGGTGCAAGGTGTGGATACTGGCCAGGGCCCCCTCCAAAGCCACCATCTGGGCTTTGACACAGCTCCAGGAAATGACATACACTAGGTACACAGCCAAAGGGGAAAGCAAAGTCAGAGAGCATTCGTTTCAAAACACCAAATTCTACCAGATCCATGCCCTTTCAAAAGGAAAACAAAACAAACAAACAAACAAAAAGCTCCTCTCCTCCTACTTCTTGAATATATATATTTAAAATAGCTAAACCCGCCGGGACCGGTTTGGCTCAGTGGATAGAGTGTCGGCCTGCAAACTGAAAGGTCCCGGGTTCAATTCCGGTCAGGGGCATGTACGTTGGTTGCGGGCACAACCCCAGTGGGGGGTGTGCAAGAGGCAACTGGTCGACGTTTCTCTCTCATCAACGTTTCTGACTTTCTGTCCCTCTCAATTCCTCTCTGTGTAAAATCAATAAAATATATATTTAAAAATAAATAAATAAATAAATAAATAAAATAGCTAAACCCTCCCAGCCAGTGTGGCTCAGTCGGTTGAGCATCATCCTGTGTACCAAAAGGCTATGGGTTCAATTACCTCCCAGTCAGGGCACATACCTGAGTTGCAGGTTTGGCCCCTGGTCAGGGCACGTACAGAAGGCAGCCAATTAATGTTTCTCTCTCACGTGGATGTTCCTCTCCCCCCATCACTCAAACATGTCCTCTGTGAGGATTGCAAAATAAACTAGAATAAGATAAAATATAAAACAAAACACAGTTACGCCTTGCAAAAGGCCTAACTCTTCCCCTGCCATCACCAGTACGGTGTGCTCGCCCATCTGAGTTTCACATCTAAGCACCGGCCTCTTCACGAAGGAAGAACACGGGCTGGGCAGGAAGGAACAGCCTTCCCCGGGGCTGGGGGAACTGCCACGCTTCCTGACCACATCCTTCCCACCTTTCATGCCGGTGCTCTGCTGCTGCTGTCCACACTAAGCGCCCAGGTCGAGTTCCACCCTCCCCCAGGCCCCCAAAATATTCAAAGAGATGCCTGTTCATCCCCCCTGCTGCCTAAGCCCCAGCGGGCTACTGACTGCTATTCCTTCACTGACAAGAAACCAGCTTTGTGGAGTCTGCGCCGTGGTCAGGAGGACCGTGTGTCCCAGTGGGGGAAACCTGTGTGTCCGCTGACTCGAGCCACAGAACGCACCCCGACCTGTAGGGTCAGCAGAGTTTTCACGCTAATCCCACAGGCTGCGGTTCCCTCGCCGAGAGAAGATGTGTAGTGAGGGCTGGCCGTGGAGCTCCTGCCTCCAAACCTGCCGCCAGTTTGTCCAGAAGTTTCTTTCTTGCTTCAGGTGAAACCCAGAAAGCCCCTATCGGACCCAGGTGCTCTGAGGTTCACCAGAAGGGGGCGCCCCAGGAAAGTCCCGGTCATCAGGCCGTTTCCCCAGGACTCCGCCGAGGTCACAGGCTTCCTCTGAGGTCGGCCTCTGGTTAAGAGGACACACTGCAGATCCGTGTCCTCCCGTGCTCAGGCAGCCTCCTCCCTGGTGTTCACGTCATCCTTTCTCATTAGCGGCTGCCAGAGAGACCGCGTGGAGCCCAGCTCATCTCCACCGAGATTCAGTTTATTGTTGCTTTTCCTCAACGTATTTGATTTCAGATCTCCCATTATCTGGGCTGGGACAGCAATAGAAAATTTGGCTGACTCACTATTGGAGTCCTGGTCAAAAACAATACACAGCAAATTCCATTTGCCCCTAAAACTTTACAGTGAGGAACAAAAGGATCGAAACCGAAGTTGATAATCAGAGAAGGAAGGCAGCTTTGAGGCATGTCGTTGATTAGCAATTGCTTTTCATAGAGAAAATGAGTTTGTCCCTAACATATTTTCCAAACCACTCCTAATTTCTGTTGCATTTCCCAGGGGCAAATAGCTAATGAACACGTGTCCCAGCAAAGGCTGGCTGCACTCGCACATAAAAAGTATCCTATGTTACAAAGGGTTTGAGTTGCTATGAAAACTCAGCACATTCAAGAGGACAAGAAGAGTCACCTAGTTACCGTTCCCTTCCCCAGCTCCCAAGACAGAATCATGCCAAGTGAAACCCTCCTGACCCCGCAGCCTGAAAAGTCTGGAATGAGCCGGGATCGGAATGTACCAGACACCTCTCAGCCATCCCTCCATGCCAACCCCCATCAGCTGACGGGCTGCGTCTGACTGCCCCCGGGGCTGTGCTGGGGCACAGGGGTTGGGCTCTGCTGGACTCTCAGCCACTTCCGCATTACGGAACATTCTGATCCACAAGCCTGACCCTCAAGGAACTGGCAACCTGGCCGTGAAGCAACCAGCTGTCATCAGCAGAATCCTTAGCCATTCAGAAAAACAAAATGTGAAATGACACTTTATCAAAAGAGAGGGAAAAAACTTATCCTAGAAACCAGATGGAAAACAGTTATTCACAAATCATTCATTTAGTCATACAACTAAAAGACCTAGAGGATCAATTTGGTTTTCACACCAGCAAGGCATTTCACTCCAGATTACATGACAATTACCAACAAAGTGGGAAACTATCTTCTAGATCGGGGATTTTCAGACTCAAAATGTGTGCAGCAAAATCACTGGAGAGCTAGTAAAGAATTCACAGCGCTGGCCAGTTTGCGCAATGGTTAGAGCGTCGGCCCTCCGACTGAAGCGTCTCAGGTTCAGTCCCCGAGTGCGGGAGGCAACCAACTGACACATCTCTCTCAAATCCATGTTTCTCTCTGTCGCTATCCCTCCCTTCCACTCTCTCTAAAAATCATTGGAAAAAATATCCTTGGGTGAGGATTAACAACAACAACAAAACACACACACACATACACACACACACACACACACACACACACACACACAAAACAGAAGCCAATAAGAATAAAACAAATAAATTAGGTGTAAGTAGTAATATGTATTTAGGGGACAGCAGGAGTGGGGGATGAGTAAAATGTATAAATATAAGACAGGAAAGGACTAGGAATATAGCACACAAAAAAAGGACCAGATGATAGGGTCTGTGAACAATAACAAAAATGCCGGTTAAAAGCATTATTCCTCAGAACTGTATCTGACTCAAGCCTCCATTTTCCAACGCCAAGGAAGTTCAGATTAGAGTTGTAAAAGTGGCTAAATATAAAAAATGATTAAAAGGCTTAATATTGCAGGCAACCACAGCGGACAGCTACCCAGCCACATGCCTCAAAAACATAAAGGGTAATTATACAAGCTTTCTGGTCAATACACAAAAATGGAAGCTAATTTGCAGCAAGATTCTAGGTTAGACGTTAAGGAAAACTGCAACACCGGAGTAAGTGACCACAGAGGAACGGCAGGTCTAGAATAAGTCACGAAGATTACAGCTTTGGAAAGAGGAACGGTCACCCTCGAGCAGAGCGGCCGGGGAGCAGATGCAAATGCAAGAGGAAGGAGTAGACATCAAGCTTCTCCTAGTGCCAAGTCCTTCAGATGTCAAGCTGAAAACCGGCTTCAGCTCCACACGACGACGAGGGAGAGGGGAACTCCTGCCCTGGTCGGTGCAGCAATGAACAGGTGAGAGGCAGCAGCTCCCCAGGTGACCCTGGGGCGGGGCTGCCTGGAGAAGGGGGCAGGTCCTCTGACTCCGCAGTGGAGCCGGCAGGCCTCTGGGTCTGCAGTTTGGATGTGTGGTCACCTCTGAAGGTGGTTATTGGACAGCAAGGTTTCTCCACCTTGGCATTAGGACAGGCTGGGCTGGGTAATTCCCGGTGGTGGGGACTGTCCTGCGGAGGGCGGTTAGCAGCATCCCTGGCCTCCACCCACCAGATGCTGGTGCTGCTGGCCAAAAGCAAAATGCCCAGAAGACAAATGAGGTGTCCTTACGGAAAGGTAAAGACACAAAGCATATGTATACTTAAAAATTAAAAGGCAAAAATGTTTAAAGAGTTTAATTACTGACACGTGAAAATTTAATCTTTGGGCCGAGACCGGTTTGGCTCAATGGATAGAGCGTCGGCTTGGGGACTGAAGGGTCCCAGGTTCGATTCCGGTCAAGGGCATGTACCTTGGTTGCGGGCAAATCCCCAGAAGGGGGTGTGCAAGAGGCAGCTGATCGGTGACTCTCTCTCATCGATGTTTCTAACTCTCTATCTCTCTCCTTTCCTCTCTGTACAAAATCAATAAAATATATTTTAAAAAAAGAAAAAGAAAATTTAATCTTTGGGAAAATTTTATAAACAAAGAGTCCTAAAACTTGATTTTCAAGTTAAAGACGTCTTTAGATCTTACGGAAGCTTAAAGCCTAACTCAACAGTCAGTGAGTGGTGCCCTGCGGCCTTCATTTCGTTCTTGCCCTTCGTGAACTCGGCTTTCAGTAACAAAGCCTGGGGTGGCTCCCTTCGGTGCTAAAAGCATGAACAAAGCAAATGTCCTTAATCTGGTTCCAAATATTAACTTATTTAAGGTAAACACAGCTACATTTGTGGATACAACCTCTTAAGAGAAGCAAGCTAAATTCCTTCCGATGAATATATGGCTCCTGAGGGGTCTGACACCAACAGCAGGAAAAAAACGACCTGGCTGGCTTCGATCAGCAGACACAGCGGCTGACAAAAGTGATTTTGTCCACTAGAGGGAACTCAGCGTGGCATTTTGTTCCCTAAACAAAGTCACAACAGTGAACAAAATAGGAAGGGGGGGGGAAAGGAGAGAGAGAGAGAGAGAGAGAGAGAGAGAGAGAGAGAGAGAGAGAGACAGACACACTAGATGAGGGAGTGGGGAGAAAAAAGGGAAGAAAATAATAAGATACCAGAGCGAAACTCAGCCTCCAGGTCACCTTAATATTTGTATAAAGAAGAAAAAAACCTGTTTCCAATTTCAAAGCAATTTTTTCCCCTGTGCAAAATAAACAAGAAGGCAACATCTTATATCAGGTAGTCTAAATAAACAAATCCCCGTATTTTTAGAGAAGTCATTAAGATTTCTCTGTATCTCACTAAAAACTGCTTTCCTTATAGGCCAGAGCTACTGGGGCTCTGTTCACATTATCAGCATCCGAGGACACATTCTTATTGATTTTTAGAGAGAGAAAAAGAGAGGCATCGATGTGGGAGAGAAACACCAATCAGCTGGAGCCCATATGCTCCCCGACCTGGCATGGAACTCGCAACCTAGGTTTGTACTTTGATAGGGAGTGGATCCCACAACATTTTGGTGTGACTGAGGATGCTCCAACCAACAGAGCCACCTGGCCTAGGCTCTGAGGAAATGCTGAAGTGTGTATTAAGTCAGCGCTCCACAGAACCACAGGCGTGCTTGTAAGGCAGCCATGGAACAGAGACTCTCAGCCCTTCAATGTCAAGTTGTTCTTGAAGTCGGCTTTCAGGTTTAAAACAGTAATCTTCATTTATAAAACAACGAAGATTAGATGTGGAAACTTTAGAAAATGAAAATACGTTTAGAAAAAAAGAAATCACCTTTAGCCCCACTATCCAGAAGTGTCATGTGTATCCATCCTTCCGGTTTGTCCATGCATAGAACCATCTATATTTTTACTCTATAGGAGTGAAATCTTTTAAGCTACCTCTGCACTTAAATCATGAACATCTCTATATAAATATACACATCTTTATATGCAAATATGCATATTTATCTATTTAATTTTATTGTGGTCTAATTGACATATAACATCAGCTTCAGATGTAAACATAACACTTTGGTATTTGTGTATATTGCAAAATGATCACCACAATAAATCTGGTGAGCATCTGTTCACTTTTCATTTTTAAATGGCTGTGCAGCATTTCATTGTATAAATTGCACCATAATTTCTAACATTTTAACTACAGAACCCTCCTGTGACTGTTCAGGTTGTCTCCAATTGGTCAGAGTCAGAAGCCCTTCAAAAGGGTCCTCTCTTCCTATCAGATGCCACAGAGCTGTTCTGGCATTTATTTCCTCAGGAAAGCCTCACCTATATCAACCTACAAAAACTCAAAATTGACGCAGACCCAAGGACCCCTTCTCATGATCATCTTCCACTTCACAGGGGCCTGCTCTCCTCCGGGGGCACCTGTACTTCCCTTTTCCTTCTCTCCTGTAGGGCTTCTCCGTTCCCCTACCAAAACCCTGATTGTGTGTGTGTCGGGAAGAGGCTTCCCAAACGAGCCACAACCCCCAACTGGTATCTCCAAAGCACACAGGCCTTTCCTTTGACAACCAAACAGGAACTGCCTCCAACCCTACGCGGAGCTGAAAAGCAGCGAGGCTCGAAGCCGCGGCGTGACGAGGGAGCCCACGCGTATTCTCCCCTCCCTCCGAGAGCATCGTGCGTATCACAAGGGTTAATGGCCTGATTCTTCATTATCTTCCCTGTCCACATGCATCACAAGACACCCTGCCCAGGAAGGCAAGAATGAGAGGTTATTGTTAAGACGGAATGAATGAGACAATGTGCGGTTCTGTTCTTCTGACCTGACAGTGTGACTCATGCGGGGCACTGTGGCCAGGGAGGGGCCCGGCTGGCCTCCGCCCGTCCTGGTACAGACACCCCTGTGTGCGGTGGGGGGCCTCCCCTCCCAGAGGCCTCTCCACAAGGAGCCCCGAGGGACGTGGAGGATCTCAAGTAGCTGCCGAGGGGACGTGCACTCTCGGTGAGAACTGGGACGTCAGATCCGGTTCCTGGCCGCCTGCCCTCCCCTCCCCCAGGTATCCCCAAGACTGGGGTGATGACCAGTTTCTTCTCCTTTAAAATTGTGAGGAGCTGCTGAGGATGAGGTCCCCATCCTGAGGACAACATCTGCACCAGCAGTTTGGGAAGAATCTTAGTTGCTTAGATCTCTTGAGTCTTAAGAAAATGGTGAGTCTGCCGAAACCAGTTTGGCTCAGTGGATAGAGCGTCGGTCTGTGGACTGAAAGGTCCCAGGTTCGATTCCGGTCAAGGGCATGTACCTTGGTTGAGAGCACATTCCCGGTGGGGGGGTGTGCAGGAGGCAGCTGGTCGATGTTTCTCTCTCATCTATGTTTCTGGCTCTCTATCCCTCTCCCTTCCTCTCTGTAAAAAAATCAATAAAATATATTTAAAAAAAAAAAAAAAAAAGAAAGAAAGAAAATGGTGAGTCACGGCATCTGCACACCAGGATGGTAACACATCCAGTCCCATCAAGAGGACACCATTCCCCAGGCACTGGGGGTAGGGGGGCGGGGTGTGCTTCAGTGGAGATGTTCATGGAAGGCAAGGCGTGTCTGTTCCGTGAGTTGGCACATGCTCTCCCACAGAAGCATACTGTACTTCCTGGAAGAATCGTGTCTCCCAGAGTTGACAAGGACGACTTTCCTCACAGACCCGAACGAGAGCCAAAGGGAAAACCCATAGAGGAAATCAGAATCCTGCCCTCAAGAGTTCAAAGCCTTTTCTGCCCACGAGCTTCTGTAGGCCTCTAACGCGGAGGAGTTTCAGGAGGTTACTGGAGGTCAGGAAATGCATGGGCTGCTTGGAAGCGGTCTGTGTTTTTCATTTAACACAGAACAAAAAGCACCCCAAACTCAGAGCACAGCCCCAGAGAACACCCTCGACTCCCCGCCGCCAGACTCACTCTGCCGCCACCATCTGGGGGAGGGGCTCGTCCAGCAGCTCCAAGCTGTGCAGGATCCAGTAGCAGAGCCACGGGCGGCTGGCGTCCAGACACTGGCACATGGGGCAGGGAGAAAACACACCCCTTATTCAGAGCCGTCCCAAGAGACTGCTGACAAGGGGATGTCTGTCTGCCTGCTGGCAGCCTGGCGGGGGCAGGAGGGCACCCTCCGCACACTCAGTGAATGAAGGGCGCTTTGCCTTGTGGCCTTAGCCAGCAGCTGAAAGAACCGCGTCTGAGAAAGGACAGTGGGACAAAGAACTTGACCTTGAACCCGACCTGAGGAAGACTGAGCAGAGCACCTCTCGAGCGCCAGGAAGTGCTGCTGTGTTTTCAGTGTAGACCCCAGGAGAGGCGGGATCCCAGAGAGGGGTTTCCTGGATTAATTCATTCACCGATTAAACCAATATTCAGTAACTACCTACTCGGTGCCACGCACTGAGTTAGGTACTGGGGCCTCAATCATGAATTCAGTTCTGCTCCTATTCTTGAGATGCTTGGAATATAGGATGTGCGTGGTAATCTGTAGAGGGAGAGGGCAGCAGACACAGAAGAACAAGTGACCTTTTGTGGAACAAGGTGGAGCCACACGTGCGTACATGTGCCTGGATAAGTGCTGGAAAGGACAGAGACAGTCCTGAGGGAGCACGGGGAGAGACTGACTCTGCCTGGGGGAGCTGGGAAAGGCTTCCCAAGGGGACAGTGAACAGAACTTGCCCCTAATTCAGTGGTCGGCAAACTCCTTAGTCAACAGAGCCAAATGTCAACAGTACAACGATTGAAATTCCTTTGGAGAGCCAAATTTTTTAAACTTAAACTTCTTCTAACGCCACTTCTTCAAAATAGACTCGCCCAGGCCATGGTGTTTTGTGGAAGAGCCACACTCAAGGGGCCAAAGAGTCGCGTGTGGCTTGCGAGCTTCAGTTTGCCGACCACGGGCCTAATTCAAGCTATAAACATGCCCTGAGCTTCCAAGGCCAGGCTGGCAGGTGGTATTTCTGCCTCCGTGGAACAGATTTAAAGTACATAAATGAGGCCCAGAGAGACGAACTTTTCCTAGATGACAAAGACAGCAAATGGCAGAGATGAGACAAGAAGCAGGTTTCTGGAACACACAGCCAGTGCTCCTCCCATTTGCCCAGGCTGTCCTCTTCGTCAACGTGCGAGGACCAGCTTTCTACCTGGTGGTGCCCGAAGAAGCTGCTGTGCAGTTGGCCGGCCTGGGTGTGTGAGTCCCAGCTCCTCTGCTTCCTAGCGATTTGCCTTTGAATGAATTACTTCATCTTGCTTAGCTGGTTCGGTGTGAACTGCAGCAGGGCTGGCTGGACCCTAACCATGGAGGATTCGAGTCAAGGAATAAGAAATAGAAACCCAAGGCCAGCTCTAGCCTATGGATGTGTTCTGCTTGCTCCCTGTCGTGTTTGTTTGCTTGTTTGTCCGTTTAATTGGAACTGGTTGCAACATTTAAGCATTTGGAAATTCACGCAACAATCTGAATTTCTGGCTTCATTTGGAGGGAAAAGAGAGCGAGCTCTGGCAACCTGGGTCTGCAGGGATGGGCAGGAACAGAGTTCAAGTGTGGGGCGTCTGGTTTGCTCCAGTCTCCCCAGCCCACTTTTCCTGGTCGTGCTAGCTGCTTGGGTCTACGGGCATTTGGGTTGGTCAGTCCCTGTAGTAAATAATCAAATGTACAATTCCAAAATAAATACAAATTAAGAGCAGGGCAGCTCTGTGTAACTCGGGATGGTAAGCCTAGAGCCCTCCTGCCCACACTCACCCTCTGCCTGCCACTCCACACCCTTCCGCTCCTCCACCGCAGTGCCCCTCCCCGAGGCCCTCGGCGGGCCCTGGGAGCTGAGGGAATGACATTTACAGCGGCATGCTCACACCACTGAACGGCAGCAGCTCTCTCTGGAGTTACATACTGACCCTTTGGCCAGCTTAGGAACTAGATCAGCTTATAGGGCAGAGGGTTAGGGATGAACAGGTGACAACTGCCTTTTAGCTAGCTCTCAGGGGGTGTCTACAAGAAAGCACGTGACCCCTTCCGCCGTGATCTCAGAGGAAGAGAGCCGCCCCATCTGGGTGCTGCCCGAGCGGAGGGAGGACGGGCCAGGAAGAGCCAGCTCTGCCTTTTCTGCGGGTGCCTGGGCTCCCGTGCCCCCGCTTCCCGCCAGAGCCAGGCGTACCATGCGCGACCCTGCAACAGGTCACGCTCATAAGTGTCTTGCGTTCAAATTGAACTGCAGCTCGCGAGCCACATGTGGCTCTTTGGCTCGTTGAGTGTGGCTCTTCCACAAAATACCACTGCCTGGGCGAGTCTGTTTTGAAGATGTGGCGTTAGAAGAAGTTTAAGTTCAAAAAATGTGGCTCTCAAAAGAAATTTCAATCGTTGTACTGTTGACATTTGGCTCTGTTGACTAAGGAGTTTGCAGGCCACTGAAATAGAACAAAGGGAAGAACTACCTGGCTGGTGATTTGATAGAAAACGCTCCTGATCAATGCATTTACCTCATAGGCATCTGTCAGCTGCCGAAGGCCTCTCTTCAGGTAGTGGAAGTGCTTCTCCCTCTGCAGCACAAGCCTGGAGAGACAAAGAGCTCGTAACCTAGTCTGATCTCTTAGGCTTCCGCCCCGTACTGAACACACATGCACACGTGTGCACACACATGTGCAAACACACTCTCTCTGCTTCAGGACATCCCCACCCCAGCCAATGAATGGATAACCAGCGACTTCTTGAGCTCTCGGGGCAGGTAAATGAGAGAAAAGAGCCCAGCATCTGAATGTCCCTAAAGGGCCCGGAACCACGCTGACGGGTGTTTGGGGTGCGGCTTTGGCGAAGTGAAAAGCAGCAATGAGCACACGGCGGGCGGGGCTGACTGCGAGGCAGGCAAACCACCCAGAAAGCTGCTCCAGAGTCTGACTGTGCTGCCCAGCCTGTAAGCAACTTCAATCCGAGCCTTGCCACTTCCCTGACGCGGCTGGCCTCCGTCATTCCGGTCATTTCTTCTGGGGTCACTTCTCTGAGGTTTGTAGTTTGCACTTTGCCTGTCCCTCAGTTATCTGTCTATTATTCCCTCCCGGAAATTCCACCTCCTACGTGCTGACCCACAGCCCCGGCCAGAGGGCTATGGCCAGACCAGCCGCTCTCCTCGGCCCTGGTGTCAGCAGTCCTGGCTCTCGGATGGTCGGGCAGGCGAAGGCCGGGGGCTGCGCTGCGCGCCTGGTCTCCCAGAAGAGGCCTGGGCGATGACAGAGGAAAGGGGAAAACTGCCATGGCAACACATTCACTGTGCTTGCTGATCTCGGAAATGAAAAAAGAACCATTCTCTTGTCTAGGTATTCAATTCAACAATTGTTTGTGGAACTCCCACGCCACTATGCACAAAATAAGATCATTAACATCGCCTTTACCTCAAAAAGTCTGCATTCAGGCCCTGGTTGCTCTCAGTGGTTAGAGCGTCGGCCCACAGACCAAAGGGCACGAACTTCAGCTGCAGACTCAATCCCCGGGCCCAGTTGAGCAAATGTGGGAAAGCAACCAGTCTATGTGTCTCACATCAATGTCTGTCTCTCTCTCTCTCTCTCACTCTCTCTTTCTCTCTCCCACTCTCCCTTCCCCTATCTCTAAAAACAAATCAATAAAAAAATACCCTCGGGTGAAGATTAAAAACAAAAACGTCTTCCTTCAGTGCTAGAAATGAAATAAGGACATGAGTGGCTACAATAGGAGGGGGAAATGGGGAGGTTTCATAAGGGAAACAGACCAAATCTGACCACGGCTCTCAAGGAGGGCAGTTTGGCCTGAGAGGGATGGTCAGGAAAGGCTGTGTAAAGGAGGAGGAAGCTGAGGGGGGCAGCCAGGTGGAGGGAGAGATTTTTACAGGCAGAGGTGGCCAGAGGGCAGAAGATGGTGAAAGGATGGTTTAGTCAGAAAAACAGCATCAAAAAGGCACAGAATGTCCAAAGAGTGTTCAGTGGTGACAGGAATGCCATCTGTGCTGACTGCGAGGCAGGCAGCCACCAGCCACCAGCCACCAGCCATGTGTGGTTATGGGGCACTTGAAATATGCTGGCGTGACTGAGCAGCTGAATTGTAAACTTAGTTAACTTTAATTAAGTTTAAATGGTTGTGCATTATGCAGCACAGGTGTAGTGTGCAAGAGGAGAGGTGGGGGGTCTGGCCTGGATATTAGGAATGGAAGAGAAATAGCCGAAAGGCAGGTGATGCCTGTTTCCAGTGGTCTGGAGTTCCAGCCGGGGAATTTCTACCCCGTTTAGGAGGCAAAGGGAAGCCCTGCAGGTTGTGAATGGAGAGGGAGAAAATATGACCTGAATGGTGCGTGAGAAAAACTACCTGACAGCAGCAGGTATTCAATATGTGTTTACAAATGGCCTCAATGGAAGCACTAGGTGGAGAGAGAGAGTGGGAAAACAGACGAACCATTCTCTTTTCTAGGTACTCAGCTCAGCCGCTGTTGACTGAGCAAGTGTTAGGAGTCACCCAAGCCAGGAGTCCTTAGAGCACTGAGTGCTGGGATGAGCACGGTGACCCATGATAAGCCGGCCTCCGGACAGGTGGGCTTTGAGGCACTGAGAGTGCAGGGGAGGATGTCAGTCACACAGTTGGAAACGCATGTGACACTCAAGAGAGGGATCCAGATGGCAGATTGGGAACCGTTTATCGGCACACAGGAGACAGGTCAGGCTGCAGGAGGGAAGGGCAGAGCAGAGAAAGAGTTTCCGTGAAGAACTGGGGGAAGGCCCGTCCTTGGAGGACGAGAAGCCAGAGGAGAAAAATAAAATGTTACATAAGCTGGGAGATGCCCGGTCACAGGCCGTGCGGGAGGAGGGAATTTCGGGGAGGTACTGAGCAATGGCAAATGCTGCTGCAAAACTGAGGGAAAAGAGGACAAACCGCAGAGTGGCTGCTGGCCTTCCAGAGAGTTCAGGAGGCGCTGAGAGTAGAATTCAGAATCCCAAAGAAGAGAAGGCCAGACAGACTCAATTTTTCTTTCAAGGAGGTGCAGGGGTCAGGACTTAGGGAGCACCCACTCTGTGGGGGCCGAGAGGGAAGCACTGGGGAGGACGCTGACTCAGCTCCCTCGAGCTACCGTCCGGAGGTGAACATGGACAAGTCCTCGGTGATTACAGCCTGTCCAACTAGCACTCTCATCAGGACGGGTGGTGGGCACTGCAGCATGTGGGACAGCACCGAGGGTCAGAACACACTTCCCCGAGGACACAGCATTAGGTCAATGAATGAAGGAGCCCCAACGGGTATGCACCGGCCAGGCAAAAGGGTGTTTCAGGAAGGGAACACCGGGGACATTCCAGGGAGCTGAGTTTAGCTGGAGTCAAAGCACAAGGTAGTGAGCAGTGGCAGACCGTGCAGGACGGATAAATGCACTGGGAGCCTGATTTTAAACCAAAGAGCACCCAGGAGTCACTGTGCTACAACATGGATGGCCCTTGGAAACCCTGTGCTGAGTGAAAGAAGCTGTCACAGAAGACCAAATACTGTATGATCCTGTTTAAATGGAATGTCTAGAACAGTCAGATCCATAGAGGCAGAAAGGAAATGAAGTGGTTGCCAGGATCTGGGGAAGAAGGGAGAGAATGGAGGAAATAAAGGGTGATGGCTGAGGGCTTCTTGCTGGGGTGACAAAAATATTCTAAAATTAATTGTGATGGCTGCACAACTGTGAATCTACTAAAAAAAAAAAATCAATGAACTGTATACTTTAAATGAATGAAATGTACACTTTAAATGGGTGGAACTGTATGCTATATGAATTATATCTCGTTAAAACTGTTACCAAAAAGAAAAAAGAAATTTAAGGGAATCGTTGAAGTATTTCAGGCACAGGGAAGACATGATCAGATTTGACGGTCTAGACCAGTGGTCAGCAAACTCATTAGTCAACAGAGCCAAATATCAACAGTACAACGATTGAAATTTCTTTTGAGAGCCACATTTTTTAAACTTAAACTATATAGGTAGGTACATTGTTATTAACTTAATTAGGGAACTCCTAAGCTGGCCTTTGCTAAAAACCCAAGGGGCCAAAGAGCTGCATGTGGCTTCATGAGCCGCAGTTTGCCAACTACTGGTCTAGATCAACAGTCACCAACCTTTTGGACCTCACGGACCACCAGTTAGTGACCACTGGTCTAGATCGCGCTAGCCTCAGCATGCCAAATGGATTGGGTTATTATCAGCTAGTGGCAGGACACCAAACTCACAATCTAAAGGTGTCTGTGGTGGTGTTAGGGAATGCAGCACTAGGGTGAAGAAACGCAGTTCACATGGAGGAGAGGTGAGCAAAGGGGAGACGCTGAAAATGCCAGAGCCCAGACAAATGCATCAAGGAAGGTCCCCGAAGTGGGGGCAGGGGGATCAGGACTGAGAAGTCAGCAGGAGAGGTGAGCATGGCAGTAAGGGAGGATTCTACATTCTCGAGGACAGACATGATGGGAAAGAACCAAGACCATCCAGGACTCTGGAGGCGAGAGAGGGAACCCGAGGAGACTCATGGGGGATGGCCTCGGTTTCCTCAGGAATCAGGACACCAGACCACGGAGAGTGGATTGGCCACTGTGGTGAGTGAATGACAGGGTTGGAAAGCAGTAAGAAAGCCCAGCTGAAGGTAGGTCGTCACATTCTCGGTGAAGTCATTCCGCAGGCACTGTCACATGGTTTTGTTTTCTTGGAAATCTCGCTGGGACCCGTTAGTAGAAGCAGCGATGGGGATGCTACGGTTAGGGCTGGTTAGATGGGAAGTAGAGGTGTGAAGGAAATGAGTGAGACCAGAATTGCTGACAGAGATCAGGATACGTGCTGGCCTGGACTGAGCAGGCTGGGTATGGCCAGGCCAGGTACCATGGATGAGAAGAGCCCAGAGACCATTGAGGAGTTGGGGTGATAAGCACACACCAGTGGCCGCAAGGTCAAGAAACATGTCTCGCGGGAGACACATCCCCGAGGTTGGAGGAGCTGACGGAGAAGAGAAAAAAGGCTCCCCAGGAGGCAATGTCTCCCCAAATCCCTCAAACCCCTGGCCAGGCTTACCTTGGAACAAGGTGGTTCAACTTGTAAGTACTGAAGACCTCTTGGATCTTCTCTTCTACTTTTGCCTGGGAAGGATGCAGGAGGTGGGAGAGAGAGAAATAAACACAGATGAGACCTCTACCTGCTTTTCTTCCTGTTGCTACACGTGCCCACTGGCTAGAGGTGCTCGGCGTGGTTTGGTACTTCCTGGTACGATAAGCCTGCATTCAGGGGCACTGCAGGATGGCAGGAGAGAAGTGAAATTCCCTCCCTGTACCATGCTGGTGCCGCCATCGACTTCTCCATGAACTAATCCAGAATATCCAAACGATTGGCAGTGTGGCTCCCTGGCACCAGTTACCCAGGGAGCAGAGGAAGACAGATACATTTTGCTTGAGTGATTTATTCTCGCCCGCTCTATGAAGTGTTCGTTTTACTGGTCATTCTCCAATACACAATTAATTCCTGCCCAGAGTCCTAACTTCTTATTCTTTAAATACAGATTTAAATACATACTGAACAGTATTAAAATCCCCTCAAGGATTTTATAAGAGCATCAATCGTAGAAACACCAAAGAAATAACGTATCTGCTCACTGATTCTATGTCACACGCAGGACTAAAATGAAGGCTCTCGGAGAGTCAGGTCACAGAAGAAACCAGATCCCCCGGCCCTCTGAGGACCACACCACAGTGCGCTCACACAGCACAGCGTCTGTCAGAGACGGGCCCAGGAACGCGGGAGAGGCGGCTACAAGGATACAGGGCTTCCCTTTCATCGGCATCCCTCCTCTTTGTGGTGAGGCATGTCCTCATTGAGATTTCACGATACATAATAATGTCCCTTCTGGGGAATTTTTCTAGCTATTATTTATTTCTGAAACACCCACTGAGCCAGGGCTCCGTGTCTCTTTGACAGGTATGCAGAAATGATTTGTGATGATAAGGGGAACCGTGACATGAGTCATGGCAAATGACAGCCAATTGAAAATTCATTTCTCTGTGGTTTTAGGATATGCTTTGGTATTTGCCTTTGAACAAGACTTTGAGGGATGATCTGGCTAAGAATGCGCAATCCTTCAAAAACCAGTCTGAAGGCCCTTTGAGGACCTGCCTCAGGAAAAATGAGAGCGTTGTCCCCAATTCCTCATTCCTCTTTTTCTATTCCAGACACTCACGTGAGGCTGACACAGCACCAGCCTCAATGGAACACAGACTGCGTTTCTCAGCCGTGCCTTCCTTAACTGTAAGCTGAAAGGGATAGGAAAAATATGCAGGGCAAGAAACATCTGTCAGTGAGATCATCAAATAAAGACTCGCCTAGCCTTGACCGGTTTGGCTCAGTGCATAGAGCATCGGCCTGCAGACGGAAAGGTCCCAGGTTCGATTCTGGTCAAGGGCATGTGCCTTGCTTGCGGGCATGTGCCTTGGTTTGGGGCACATCCCCAGTGGGGAGTGTGCAGGAGGCAGCTGATTGATGTTTCTCACTCATCGATGTTTCTGACTCTATCCCTCTCCCTTCCTCTCTGTAAAAAATCAATAACATTTTAAAAAAATAAAAAAAATAAAAAGACTCGCCTGGTTACGGCAAAGTGCATTGATGAACTTTGAATGAAACAAAAGCAAGTGGGAAGAAAACATACTTCCTTTCTCCAAACACTAGACAATTCAAATCCGCAGGACTTGATAGTCAAAGGCTAATGGATGAGCTCATCTTCTCCTCGGCATTTTGACACCCTGTAGGAGGAAAGCTTCCAGCCAAGAGCTCCTTAATGAAAAATCCCACCTCAGTTCCCACTCAGCAGCCAAGTACTAGATGAGGAAAACGGAGGTTTGTTTCTAAACCAAGATTCCTGACAGCAACACAGCGGCATGTCACACAGCAAAGTTGAAAATGCTTGAAATATTCCCAGCCCAGTGTCATTTTTCTTAGGATATTCCTAATCACATTTCCTAATCACATTCTTCAGAATGAACAAGTGCTATTCCAAAGCAGTTAGTAACTGACTCGTGTCTGACAATCTAAGTTATGAATCCTAACAAACATCTGAGTATGACGGGTCCGCTTTTTCATAATAATGGAAAATAAGAACGCAAGTTATTTTTTTTTAAAGCACTGGTTATTTTTCTAATAGCTTTATTAAGACACAATCCACACACTATTTACTTCCTCCATCTATAGTGTACAATTCAACAGCTTTTAGTATTTTCTCAGAGGGGCCCAGTCAATTTTAGAACATTTTCACTGCCCCAAAAGGAGTCCCTGCACTGCTTAGCAGTCAGTCACCCCCAATCCTCCGTCCTCCCAGCTCCTGTCAACCACCATTCTTCTTTTTATTCTCTATAGATTTGCCTATACCGGATATTTCATTTAAACGGAACCACACGATATATGACTGGCTTCTTTCTAGCATAATGATTTCAGACTTTATCCATGTTGCAGTGTGTGCCAGTCCTTCAATTCTCTTCATTGTTGAGTAAGTATCCCATTATATGAATTTATCACATTTTGTTTATCCACTCATCAGATGATAGGCATTTGGGTGTTTCTACTCTTGGGCTATGATAAATAATACCACTGTCAACATGCTTGTACAAGTGTTTTCGATGAACAGATATCTTCCTTTGTCTTGGGGATATACCTGGAAGTGGAATTGCTAGATCACATGGCAACTCTGCTTAACTCTCTGAGGAACTGTCAGACTATTTTCCAAAGCAGCCGCACCACAGTCCCACCCGCAGTGCATGAGGGTTCCAACTTCTGCTTGCTATTGGTTGTGCTTTTGATTACAGCCCTCCTAGTGGGTGTGAAGCGCTGGTTGTAGCAAAGTACATTGATTTGCCTTTGAACAAGAGTTTGATTATAGTCTTGATTACATTTTCCTGATGGCTAATGATACTGAATATGTATATCTTCTTTGGAGAAATGTCTATTCAGATACTTCGTTCATCTTTAAAATTGGGATATATGTCTTTTATTTCTGAGTTGTAATAGTGCCTTATAAATTCTAACACAAACCCTTATTGGATACATGATTTGCAAAAATTTGCTCCCATTCTACATATTTTTCAGAAACCGATGTGTTTTTTAATAGAAAGGATCACCTAAGAACCCACAGTATGGTTTTTAGATTATAACTTTAAAAATAATATTTAGCAATAAGACTGGGGGCTATTGTTTTTGTTGTTGTTGTTGTTGTTTTACAAATAGTAAAAGACTAATATAGAAATTAAAACGTATTGCTTGGCCAGAGTGGCTCAGTTGGTTGAGTGTTGGTTCAATGGTTCAATATCTGGTCAGAACACATACCTAGGTTTTGGGTTTGATCTTCATTCAGAGAGCATAAGGAAGGTAACTGATCAATGATTCTCTCTCTCTCTCTCTCTCTCTCTCTCTCTCTCTCGCTCTCGCTCTCGCTCTCGCTCTCGCTCTCTTTTTCTCTCTCAGCATATATTCAAGTAAAGTTTGTTTGTTTTTTTTAAAAAAGGTACTCATTGGGAAAGAAAAAATCAAAGTAATCACCAAAACATGCAACACCCTTTTCTTTTTGTCTACTCCTCTCCCCATGTAGCCTGCCAGTGTATATAAAATCTGAATAACTTTGTTACTGAGGCGACGCAAGCATGTTTTAAATGTTTTGATTTGCATCGTAGAAGGTAAAGAAAAAAATTAGTTGAATATAAAAGACTTAGCATGACAGGCCTGAGACTGTAATGCTTAGAAAGGCCTTTCTGCAAGGCTGTCCCTTGGCTGGTGTGTGGGAACCTGGATTCTGGGAGAGTTCCCATCATTTCCAAAACTGAAAGGAGGGGCTCCTTGTACCTAAACTGCTTAAACAACGTGCTTCATGCTGAACGGCTGCTTTCCTTTTGGGAAGCCCTAGGCGGAGGGTACCTAAGCGACCAACCCCCAGTAACACGGGGACCACTGAGTCTCTAACAAGTCTCCCTGGCAGGAAACACTTTGGGTGCGTTGTTCCAGTCCGCAGCTCAATGCTGGAGGGGCTACGCACGTCCTGAGTGACTCCAGTAGGAGAGGACTCTGGAAGCTGATGCCTTGTTTTCTCCAGGCTTCACCCCAGGAGCCTTTCCCTTTGCTGATTTTGCTTTGCAGCATTTTGCTGTAATAAATCATAGCCTTCAGTATGACTAGATGCTTAGTTCTCCGAATCTTCATATTGAATCACCAAACCTACGGGTGGCTTTGGGGACCTTCAGCACTTTAGTAAGTTTAGAAATTTAGCCTTTGGGACAGAATTAAAGGAAATAGTCCTAACAACTGCATAACATCTATAAGCAAGATCTATCATTAAATTCCTTTTAAAATTTTATCAAAATCTTCACAGGATCTGTAATTAAATTCCTTTTCAATTTTTTCAAAATCCTCACTTTAAGAAAAACTGAGGGGTAACTATTTTTTAAAAACACATACACAAAAAAAAAAAAACAACATAAGGCTAAATTGTGACAAACTCTAAATATTATACTATTCAGCTCTCAAATCCAAACTCAAAAAACAAAAAGCAGCTTCAATGCAGGGATGCTAAAACATGTCCACTCCCTGGTCTCCCATTTTATCTCAAATTTCCACGCTTCTGTTCCATCCCTAAGGAATGGACTATTCTGTCCGAGTTCATTTCTCCTGTCTGAACGAGAATCCTCATAGGCAAGGCAGTTACCAACTGGGTATAGCACAGAGGCTGCCTAACAGCCCTAAAACAACAGATACTTCTCTTCTGCTTACATAGCAAAGGGCCCATAGGTTCCTTTTTCATGGGCACAGGGCATAGTTCATGGCCATGTTAATGAGAGTGACACGGCTCTCTTGGGAGGAGAAGGACAGCCTAAGGCATCCGACCCATTTCAGAAACAGTGATATTGGCAATGTTACAAAAAAGGCCCCCAGCATAGTCACCAGATTTATTTATTTATTTATTTATTTATTTATTTATTTATTTATTTTTAAATATATTTTATTGATTTTTCACGGAGAGGAAGAGAGAGGGATAGAGAGTTAGAAACATTGATGAGAGAGAATCATTGATCAGCTGCCTCTTGCACACCCCCTACTGGGGATGTGCCCACAA